AATATTTAGCAACTTCTGAAGTAATAAATAAAAATTATTCAATTTCAAAGAGCCACAGCCATCAGAACAGGCACATTCTGACTTTCTGACTTGAGTCTGCTTCCCTAACTACCTGCAAAATGCTGATCAGGCATGTCTATCTTCTGAGAGCCACTGCATGAGCGATATTACTCTGCTATTTAAATCGGTATTACAAAGAACATGCAGATGAAAGTTTGACCTCAGAATTAAAATAATGGTAACTGGAAATAAGATAGGTGCATGTTTATCTGCAGGCCAGATTTGCTATTGCTAATCCCAAACATCAGCATGCTTCAGGTATTTACACTGTTTTGCTGCCAAGTCAGTAACTCAGAATTGCGCTTTGGGACCTTAATAATAGAAAAGTTCTCTAATGGGAAAGAGAAGCACAGGGTTTTACAGTATGGGTCATCAAGTCAGGTGAGAAATCTTTGGATTTGGTGCTGTACAGCTCTGTTAAGCATTTCTAACCCAAGATTTATGAAACGGAATAGGGATTTCTGATGCAGCTAGAAAAATAACTGTTGCTAGAACTTAATGTGACTTTGTGGATATCTGTATTGTTTTCATAGAGAAAGAATACATAGTTTATATCTCATATAAGTTTAAGATTGGCATAACTTTAAATAAACAGGAGGGTAAGAAATTTACTAACTAGACTAAGCAAGCTTTTAGCGGTGTATCTAATAACCTAAAGTGAAAAGAGTGCTGCTTGGGAACAGTTTCATTTTTTGATTTTCATTTTGTTAGGGAACTTATAATCTCATCATATATAAATTGCCTCCACTATTGACGGCAAAAGTTAAAATAGATGTTTTTCACTTGCCTCTTTTGCACTCTCTTTTGGATTTTCCTTCTCTTCTTGATCTAGGGAATAATTAAGAATGAGGTAAGCATAAAGTCTGTGAACTGTACTTTGTGTATAAGCTGTCAAGAGTCAACTTTAACAACTTGCAGGTGCAAAAGAGGAAAGAAAGGAAATAAACGGTGATCTGGGGTCCAGAGCAAACAGAACAAAATATGAGTAAGCATCATCTTAACACAATTTTGAGTTTATGTGACAGACCAAATCCAGCTCTAGCACCACAGGAATACCATGGAGGCCAGAATAACAAGCCACTGCTGCTGTTCTTCTAGGGATAGCTGACTATTCTCTTCAGAGTGAATTACAGACTGAGACAGTACACAGCAAGGACTTCAGCCCACCCATCAGCTGGCCTCAGAGGGTGCACTAGGCGTAGGATGAAGCTAGGCCAGACTGCACACTATGCTCATGATCATGAGAGCAAGCATCATAACAGAGTAGGGGTTACAAGTTGTCACAGGTTAAAGCTGTCTTTAGCGTTCTGAATTGTTTCAGGAGATGGTCTGGACTCCATTCAGAATTAGATGAGCAAAAGGCAAGCCTACTTTGCTGTCACCCATTCAGCTATTCCAAGTTTACTGTATCACACTTGTGGATTTAGCTCACAATGGTTTGAAACACCATCTATTTCCATCTTTTTTTTTTTTTTTTTTTTTTTTTAAGAGAAGTAGTGTGAATTGTAGAGGAAACATAGAATAAAATCTGCCACTTAAGCGGAGAGGACAGAGAGTGAACATACTAAAAGACTGATAACTTTGTCAAGTTATCATCACATGTAACTTCTCAGAATAATAGCCCACAACAATTCATATACATCACGTACAGCAGCTTTTAGGGAGAAATAGGCATCTCTGCACAGGATTAATGACAACACAAGCAAACACCCTAACTTACTAATAAGAGGAGCCAAACAATGCAGTTTCTGAGACAAGTTTCTTTTTAGGACTAAGATACCTAACTGAAGGTTGTAAACAGGAATTCAGAGAAATAGGGTTAATAGCTCTAAATCCCCTTCAAGATCAAGGCACTCAAGTGAATCACATTTAGGAGGAAAAATGGTGGTGCCTTTTATGTACTAGCCTAGAATTAAAAAAAAAGGTAAATTACTGTTTTCTACTGTTTCCATCAACTCTGATGAATGAACGCAGTCTGTGGATTTTGAGAGTTCTCTGAACCAATATACTGCCTACATAAGGGAAGCAGGTAACAGCAGGTGTGAACACGGAACTTCCAGTATCTACAAAAATTTATGTGGAAAAATGCAAGTATTCAGAAAATTATTCTAAACTACAGTTTGAATCTGGGGCTCAGCTACCTAATTTCCACTGAAGTCACACTTTTTGCACTTCAGTATTTCTGAAGGTCTGTGCCAGAAACCCTAAAAAACATTCTGCAACAATTCCAAGGATCAAATCTACCTGCAAAGGCTATAGATGTGTGGGTTTGCATACCACATTCTACTACAAAATAGCAGAGCCCAAGATGTGCTACACACTTTGGCTGCTGTTTCCATCTTGAAACACACTCCTCCCCACCAAAAAAAAAAAAAAAAAAAAGAGTGGCAGTAGATTACATTATCAAACAGGCTCATCTGGCATATATTGCTTCAATATTGCTACTATGCTTTTTTTTTTCCCCTGATCCTAATTAATCATTGCAAATTACTCTAATTAACGAAACATCACAGTGAAACTGACAGGATGAATAAATGTAAAGTGCTGAAAGAAAATACTTTAAAACTACATTTTGTAAAACATTAACGTACAGAGTTGTACTCTTCTATTGGGAACTTGTTTTCTACAGCATATTTCTTCGAAGAGTAATGGTTAAAACCAAAAGAAGTCATTAGCATTAGCAAAATAATGTAAGACAAACCTGGTTCTGATAATGGGTTCTTCATCATCATATTCCCAAGATAGTATTCTTGGATGTTTATTTTCTGCAATCAAAAGAGGTTAAAAAAAATCTGTTACTATTTTCCCATACTTTTTCAAGCACGCAGGTTTTCAACTCTTCTGGAGGAGTTATGCACACACGCCACTGAAAATGCGGCTGAGACTTTCAAATCGCAAGAAACCTACCTGTCCTGTCTCCTTCTCCTCATGGTATTGACGGATGTGTTTTCCGTGGCAGACCTCGTAAGTCCAGTAAGACTCAATCTTAAAAATAATAACAATTTTCTGTTTAGATAAATTACCCCCGAAAACATTTCCCCCCTAATTTTTGGCTTTTACAGCAAATGCAGCCAAAGCAAGTGGATAAAAGCACCTTCAAAAACAATAGCACAGTGAAGGGTCTCAGTGTTCCCTCAGCGTTTTGATGAGGTTCCAAATAAACACAACAGGCAAACTTTCTTAACTTTTACACAGATAAATATAATAATAATAATAATAATAATAATAGATATGCAGACTGAATTTAATCTAAAAGCACTGGGACTAAGCTGAAGTGACTGAGCACTGACTGTTTTTGGCAACTGCTGTTGATACAGGCTGTTTACTAATGGGGCTTAACCCACTCTCTCTTCCTCAAGAACTTGCATAAGACCTTGCGTAGGTATAACATTTGTGTAGGAATTACTATAACATTGTGTAGGTATAACATTTGGTCATTTTTGCTCTCTCGGTTTCTCAGTACCAGCTTGTTTGGTATTTGGTTTGTTCTTGTAAAGCATGAGCCTTGGAATTGTGATGACAGCTGATGCAAAATGGAAAAACTTCCAGAGTATCTAGAAGTATGTTTGTTTTGGTGTTCTAACAATTTCTGAGAAATGCTGCTCATTAGACTGCCACATATTACAGCTTGACTCCTGGAAGTAAGCATTTAAAATTCACATTTTTAAATTGGTATCATAACAACCCAATTTATTTGCATATTGAGATCTTCTACTATATGGAATTTTATCAGTAATATAGATTAAATCAAAGTTACAGAAAACTTATTTTGGTCTGAATTAGTACATAAAGTTTGAGATATATTTATCCAGGTTATTACGCTAAATCTTAAACCGGACTGAATGAAAATCTTTTGATTAGCATGCAAATTACCAACGCAGAAGTGACATACTCTATAAGAACAGCTACTTTGCTTAAAAAGAGGTTCCAACAATTCTCCTGGCGTAGGACCTTTGTAGTCCTTTTCTTCTTCCTACAAAGGAAGGATATTTCATTACATTAAAATTGGAAGAAGTTTGGTTAGTTCATCAATAGATGAATTTGGTTAATTCATCTATTAGTTTTTCAAAAAAAGTCTTAATGCAGAATTAAAAGATACAAGAGTTCATTAACTCTTGCCCTGAAGGAGCTGTGTTGTGATCAGAGAAGGTAATTTAGTTAGACAATAAGGGACAAGTAGAAGTCACAAAACAGCCACAGCAGAAGAGTTCTGTGGCTTTAAAAAACACACACGTTGCAAAAGAGTAGCAGCTCCCAGCTCGCTCTGTCACCGATGGCAGCTTGGGTTATGAATAGGAAAACAGCATCAACAATCCTTTTGTGGAAGTTTACTTCTTCGTATTTCTTACTCTGTAAACGTGCACGCTATTGAAGAGGTAAAGTTCTTCACCCGGAAAGGTTTGTCACCTGAGGTGAAGTCCTTGTTATTCTCCACCACATAAGGATGGGGGCTTTACCTAGACAGATGCTGCCAAGACGTGCCTACAGTTTATGCTCACAAACAAGGCTGAACTTACCTCATTGCCGCTGGCTATCAGTGGAAGGATGCATTTGTATTTCTCTTTATCCACGGTGGTCATGATGATGTAGTTATCCTCTTTGTACAGGACGCCAGTTGTAGGCTTAAAACAAACAAACACACAAATAACCCGTGAACCACTCAGGCTTTTAAACCGCTCCCAGCCGGGGAGCAGCACGGCTGACCGGGGAGGGGGCCCGGGACACCCCGGGAGGACAGAGGACCGGTTGAGGGCTCCCAGGGGGGCTGTGCTCGCCCCTCTTCCCCCCCCAGAGCCCGTCCCGCCCCCTCAGCGCACCCACCAGGCTGAACTCGGTGCCGGGCCAGTTCACCCTGAAGGGCACGTCGTCGCTCAGGTGCGGGAGGGCGCGGCCGCCCCCCGCCGCCACCGCCACCGCTGCCGCCAGGAGGCCGCAGAGCAGCGCCCGGGGCCGGCAGCCCCTCATGGCCGCCCGGCGGCTCGGGGGGACCGCGGGCACCACAGGGCCCCGCCGCCACGTCTGCTTCCGCCGGCTGCGGGGCGGGGCGGCCCCGCACCAACATCCGGGGCGGGCGGCGGTAAGTGCCGAGGCCGGGCTACGGGGATGGGGCTTGGGGGGCTCCTTCTCCTGCCCTTACCTGACGGGGGGGTGCGAGGGGCTGCGGCTGGCTCGCCCTCGCCCCGCTGTGCTGTGGGGCTGTGGTGAAGCCCTGGCTTCTGCCCCTCCGCGCTGCTGGGCGCTGGTGCGCAGCCGGCTGCGAAAAGCTGGGGTTTTAGGGGGTGCCGTGGTTAATGCGGGTGTCTCGTACTGCGGGCTGCTGGCGAAGCCTGCCTCCCTGTAGCCGTCCTGCCCGAGCACCGGGCGCCTTGCTGGGACGAGCTGCTGCCTCCAGCTAGGCCTGACAAGGGCCCTGTCCTGGACAGCAAACCCAGCACCGCTGTGTGAGCCTGCTGCCACGGGCACAGCGAGCCCAGAGGTTTAATATATAATCGTTTTTTGTAAGGGGTTATCATTGGGTCAGGAATGGCTACAAGTTACTTCTCATTTAAGGTTTCCATCTCCATTGCAGGGATGTGGACCAGATACACTTCATTTTCCACCTCAAGTACCTGATAGTTTCACCCACATACCCAATTTTACTACAGTAGGAATTTACTCAAGCACAGTGGGCTCAACTCTGTTAGGTTTTCCTGTTTGTTTGTTTGTTTTTCCCCAGATTTTTAGAGTAATACCAGCACAACTTCTATGGCGTAGAGTAGACCTGGAAGGCACAACGAAATAAGGAACACAAATTTGTGTTCCAGTAAATATAAGGGGGGGGGGGGGGGGGTGAGAGAGCGGTTGTGGTGGAGCTCGGCTGCCCACCCGAGTAAAACCACCACACCTTCTATCTTCAATTAAGAGCAAACTGTAAATTGAGAAATGGCTGGGCTGAAATGGAGACTTGAGGAGGAGAAATGTGGGGCAATTTCCTGTCTGCTTTGCAATCGGGATGTAGGACGAGGATAATGGGAATGTTTTGGCAGTGTATAGCGATTCTTAATAAACTCAGACTAGCAGGATGGGGGCTGAAATCTTTAATGAGAGAAGTAAACTAGTATGTGGCTGGTGCTAGGAGTGTGAAGGTAAAGGAAGGAAATGATGCCAGCGAAAATCTCAGTGGCAGTGGAGAAAGCTAACTGGATGGTGTGTGCTCAGTTCAGGGGGATTGGTTTCAGATGGTTTGTTCCAGGAATTTCTTCTTCACGTTTGCCAGCAGCTTGATGTATGTATGTACATCCGTGTTTACACAGCAAAACAAGCTGAGTTTGTTTACACAGCTTAAATAAATGGTTTGTATGCCCTTGGTTGATTTTTGTCCTGATTAGAAGAACAATTTCCAGATGGAAATGATATAGGTGAAGTAGCTCAAATCTTTACTGAACAGCTGTCACAGGCCTAGTCAATACTTCTGAGCTTTGCTAATGTATTTTTGTTTGATTGATTAAGGCTGTATTTCTTTTTCCTGTTAAACATGTGCCAGAGCTGTGCTGGGAAAAGAACTCTTCTTCCAGTTTAAGCGTATGTACAATAAGAGCACAATGCCAGGAGGGAAGACCTAAGCTGCAAAAGACTAGACAGATGCAGGCAAGGCTCTGAGATAAGAGAGGGCAACAACTGAATGGAAGTTACTTGAACAAAGCCGTGGAGGAGCAAGGAAATGACCTTAGTATAAGAATCCTGAGGGAATCTGAAGTTAGAATAATTAGAGCTGTACTGTGGTTGGTAGTTAAAATGAGGGTCAAGCCATTTGCAGAAGCCTTCTAGAGAAGCCTAATTACTTGAAAATCAGTTTCTAATCTTACAAAAAACATATTCATGGATAGTGGGAAGTCAAGATACAGGGCTCTGTTGGTGATTTGCTGTCCCAGCGTCTGCCACTGTAGACAGCCAACATCCCCTCTTCCTGTCAGCAGCTTGGCTGAACAGTGGAAAATCACCTATTTTTTATTTTTTTTAAATCATTGTTAAGCAGAACAGACATGGAGAAATAGGTCTGGTCTGATGGGGGAGCTGTAGTATTTATTTTTTTTTCAACATTCTCAGCTCTGTAGTTTGAATAGAATCTGTATCCAGATACATACTGGAAGTAAGAGATGGGAAGGGATGCAAATCTGAGTTAATCTAGTAACCTGGTGAACTTCAGGAAACAATGATATAAAATAAAATAGTAATATAATACTGAAGGAAGATGTTGCAACCAGTTTTGTAAACGTGTTGCTTCAGCTTTAGGGGTAAGTGGTGTTCAAAAGGTGGGGTATTTTGCATGTAAGGGATCAGTTATGCATGGTATTTTGAACAAAAAAAGTATGCTCTTTCCTGTGCTTTCAGCAGAATTGCCTGAAATGTTCAGACTTGTGGAAACAAGTTTAGAGGTCACTTATTGTGTGTTTGTGTTACTAAGCCCTATCTAAAATCTCTATCATTTTGTCACAAATTCAGATTTAGTTTTAACAAGTAGAGGGAAAAAAGGCATGTGGTGTACAGTAAGTGTGTATTAATTTTTTATATTTTTTTTGGTGAGTAACATCTGAAAGTATGCTGGGCTTTTGTGGGTGACTGAAGCTGTGTGAAGAGTCATGGCTTAGATCCCGTAGAGGAAGATAAAGCGTGTATTTCTGGTGCTTTAATTAATTGCTTGCGTTGGGACAGTTTAAGACTTCATAATGGTAGCTAGCTCATGTATATCATTTCTCATCATTAGATTTAATATCATTTTGTAACAAGATAGTATTAAGATACACAGGGATGTCCATCCTATTACTGGATACTCTTTAAATTGAGAAAAAATGGAAATTTCTTTCTCCAACACAGTTAATAAATGTGATGCATTTTTATTGTATTGAAGTTGTATGTACAAACTGGAATGTATCATTACAGATATTATTGCAAGTTTTATGAATCTGGAAAGCGAATGAACCAACAGTGTCCTGAATATAAGTAAAGATACAAACTGTAGAGCCATACATAATCACAATGCCCCAACACAGTGCTTAAATTTAGTTTTAAAGAGAGAATCATCGCTGATGTTTTTGGATCATTATCGAGTGTATGCAACCCCTGCCCTGTTTTAAGGAACACAGATAAGCCTTTGGGGAAATAATTAAAAAATGCATAGAGTCAACATGCCATCTCATGTTTGAACTTCACTAAAGCTTGCTTCTATCTGAGGCAAGCACAAGAAAAGAAGTGCTGTTTGGTTCTTCTTTTTGTCTGGCTTTGTTGCGGGAGGAACACTTAAATATTCTTGAAATAACTCATACATGACATTTTCAGGAATAGTCCGGTATCCCACAACACCGGAGAGTTACTCTACGTCAGGGAGAATAATGCTTGCAGAACGGTGCATGCTGATCAGTGCTGATGTGGCTATCACTGGTAGTCTGGTGTGTGAAGTCACTCGCTCAAATGTTTAATTCCATCTTCAGGCATCTGAATGGTTGTTGTGATGGACAGACACCTGGACGTCCCCATCAGGCTTCTGTCCCGCTGTACAGCTGAATTAGCCGGGGTTGCTTTTCCACTCAGTTATATCGATCTTAAACCAGCACAGTGCAGTGGAGAATCAAGACCTCTGAAGGATATTTATTCCATCAGTTTGCAAGTAACTCGTGTACTAATGGAACAATGGGGCCTCAGTACATGGGATTGTTTTGCTAGTATCATTAGAGGATTTGTTTCTGCAAGTTACAGTAGTCCATCAAGTGAGACCCTATTACATGTTTTTTTTAAGAGTGGTATTCAACCACTAAACAGTAGCTTCTAAAAACCAGTAAACTGTTTTTTTCTTTCCTCAATAAATGTATGCCTGAGTGATGCCAGAAGCATGCTAAAGTTGTAAACTGGTATTTAAAAAAACAAAACAAAACAAAAATACAGCTTTCTTGGCTAAATATTTGAAGTAATCTTATTATCTGGAATTTAATTTTGGATTTAATATCCTACAATCTACTCATCTGGGTGCCTTTTTCAAATGTTTCCCACTAACGTTTATTAATGTTCTTTTTGGCTTTTGTAGGTGGCCAAGAAAAGTAACAGCAGCTTGTTATGCTGATAATCCTAGTATTTTCCAGGAATTACAAATATAAAACAGGAAAATGCAAAGAAGGAAAATGGACAACCTGTATAGTAGAAACATATTGGTTTTGCAAGTACTGATGAAAAATATAGGCTTCCAAATGCCTACTGAACATGTATACATTCCCTGCATGAGAAAATAAGATGCTACATGGTATTTGAAACAGGACCTTTCCTATATTAACATTAAAAAAGTACACTTTGAAAGTTAACAAAAATAACTTAAAACTCTGAGAAGCAAGACAAGTCCTTGTTCGGACGGAAACTCCATTTGCCTATTTTGCATAAAGTAAGGCTATTAGCCTAAACTGGTGGCTTTCCAACTTTTTTTGGCTAGAAGTCCATAAAACACGTCAGCTGGCTGAAAAGAGGGTTCCTTTCTTAATGACCTTTTGTCTGTGAATCCCTGAAACACTGCTCGAACATCACTGGCTTAAAATCTATCATCACAGACTGGTAAGTTTCTACAAAATTGGGTTACAACAGCATCTAAAGGCAAATAACAAAGCTGAGAGTTTCTGAACGTTCTTGCTGCATCGTGGCTTCAAGTCATACTCTTAGTTAATTTTAACACTTTAGTTTTATTTTTTAATCTTGAAAAATAAAATGAGGCACTAATATGGTACGGCTTGTTTGTGTCAGAGTACCCCAGCACTTTGTTTTTCAGGGGCTTGACACAATGAGCCAAGGGAAAGGACTATTTTTGTGACACTGACAGTTTATCCTCTATGTCTTAAGGACAAACATGCAGGGTAAGATCACTAATGCAATGGAACAACTTAATTTCGATGAACGTGAATGCTGATAAAAGTTTCCTACTATGCATTTACTATGCAGTTTACAATACCTACTTAACATTCATCTGTTTAGCTGCACTGAGCTCCATGCCGGTCTTGAATCTGAAAAAAACATCACTTGAATCAATGGGAGTTGTATCTGAATGCAGATTTTCACCTAAAAATACTTAAAAGATTATTTTTTTTTTTAACCTGAAATAATAGAGAGGCGTAAGTGGTTCTCTTGAGATTTCTGTAAAGAAAGATGTAATCCTTGGATAAAAAGAAAACAATATACCAAATTCAAACCTAAAGCACTTCCCCTGCTCCCCTTTCTACAGACTCCCAAAAGAATGATTTTTAAAACCGTATGTTTTAATGACTAACTACTCTTTTGAACGCAATATTAAAATAAATAAGATAGCATAGTACAGAGAAACATGCCTCCAAGTCATATAGCCATTGTGCAACGAAACCATTCCTCTGAAGATGAAGCAAGATCATTAAAAGAAAGAAGTTATTCTATAGGCAATTTACGCTTTGATGCTTTTCCAATAGTTCCTTTACTAGTTTCTCCAAGGAGAAGAGGTGTTCATCCACGTCTTCTGGTACGAGGTTTCTCATAGAGTCAGCGAGTTCAAACAGGTATTCTGTGTTTCTTCCACTGGGACCAACCGCATTAATGATCTGTTCGGCGATTTCTTCTAGAGGTGCGGGACCAAGGTAGTTAGGGTTATCGCGAGTTCCGATGTACAGTAATACATCAAATGGTTTTATTGACGAGTCTTTTGGGTAGAAAACGACAGTTGTAGTCCTGTAGCCTCCTTTCTCTCTGAAGTCTAGGTATGCCTTGACTTCACATTCTTGTCCAGCTGGCAATCTGTAAGCAACACCCCATACACACCCCTGTTGAAGGACATAAGAAAAGAAAAACCCAAGCGGAGTTTAAAAGCATGCTCAGAAATTAATGTATTTCTGTTTTATTTTGGTAAGACTTTCTTCACACTTTATCTTCCGTTTTTAGTCTTATAACTATTTCTAAACTGTTCTTATAAGCAGTCCCATATTAAAAGGGCTGTTTTATTTAGGAAATCTAAGATCAAAATAGCAATTATGCAGATTGATCCTCTTCCTGATGCCAAGGCCTTTCTTATGAAACAATTTCTTGTTGCAGTTAAATTTGAAATAGTGAATAGCCTTTGTGGGCTTCTGAAGACTGAAAGAGCTGGTAGGAAGGACACGAAGTGTCTTCCTGACCTCACAAAGATCGCAGAGTGGAAATGAAAATTGTTAAGAGTACCAAATTCGAAGTAATTTTGACCAAGTCTTGTCTCTGTTTAGTTACGTTTTCACTTTTAAGGATATGGGTGTCACTTCTGTCACACACATTTGGCAGGAGGAGGGTGGTAATGCTACTGTGCTGATACTGAACCTGAGAAGAAAATGCTGGAATAAACCTTCAGTTTGCACAACTGGGGCATACCAGCTCCTCAGCAAACACTGCTGGATTAATTTCATCGCTGTCTTAGTAAATCTGATTATTTCTTCATCATCCTCATGGATAAGATCTCTGAGAAAGCATTTAACTGTGGTGTGAGTTAGTTATACTCCCTTACAGAGTTTTGTATGGGCAGATGAGTGAGATCTGAGTAGGGACAGATTAACAGGATGTTGTTGGCTTTTTGATGTGCTTTGTTTAAATAGCACAGGCAAATGGTTATGGTCTGTTATCCTTTACAGGCTACATATTGTTTTTTATGAATGCTGCTTTAAACTATACGATAATCTGTTTTGTCTACTGCCAACATCAAATGTGGGCTCTTCCTGCAGTGAAGCGGGTACACACAACAGTGCTACAGTAACGATGACAGAACAATTATTTTTTTTTTCTTCCTTAAAATAAGACCTTGGTATTTAGTCATAATAATGGTGGGATGGTGACGTTTGTTAATGAGAGCTGAATTTGGCAGTTTGACTTTAACAAGCAGGTCAAAGGCATTTCATTAAGAAAAGATGCAGAGGAGGCATTTCCTACGGCACCCTCCGTGGATGGCCACACCATTACATGTGCTTCGGCCAGGAGCAGCCCTGGGGAGTACAAAAAGTGGTCCTTGCTTCCCCTCGGCTGCTTGTGGTGTGGGTTTGCTCCAGCTGTCTGCAGGGGTCCCTTCTGCACGCGCTATGTGCTGGACTTAAATCTGCCACGTGGATGGACCTTGTGGGTAGGAAAATCTCTGCAGGTGTGGTGGGGACAGGGGCTGCGGAACATTTGGTTGAAGCAGGCAAGTGCTGCTCGTTCATTCATTTTGGTTTCAGTGTAGGGGATCCCTATTTCAGATGATGGAAAATTAAAACCCGGAAATCTGACAAGCGCACAGTTGTTCCTTTTCGTGTGGTTTCCTCTTTAACTGGTGCAGAAATGCAGACGGAGCAAATTAAACTAACTCTCCAAGCTAGACGCTTCCAAACCGTGCTGTGCCTATCGCCAGTGAAAAAGGATGCACGGCTGGCACCGATCTGGGGGCTGGCAGTGCCAATGACAGAAAGCGCTGCTGCTGCTGGCCCTGCAGTGCTCAAGGCAGGGGACACGACGGCTGCAGGCTGCCGAAGTGGGGTCAGCATAAGGATACCTTCCGAAGCTGCAGAATGGGTTACTGGAATTAAAGGCCATTACTTGTCACAGCATTCGATGTTTATGGGTGAGGTGTGATTATCTGGCTGTACCAGATTCTGGAGAAAAGGGAAAAAAATAAAAACCACCAAACAAACAAAACTGGTTTGCTAAGGGGAAAAAAGTTTCTATGGCAACAAGTAAGTTTGCTTAACAATAGAAACTGAGTGACAACAAACATAACCATTCTTTGTTTATATAGGAGTCTGTGTAACATAATGGTACCCAGCAGTACAGCAACGTGAAAAAACCTCTTACTAGAAAGGTACAGAAAATCACAATGAGAGACAGTGCAGTGCATTCTGCTGGTTTTGCTAACTGCACAAACAGATGAACTTTACGATTACAGTTAAACTTACCTCTATCTGTGGCTGCTATTTCGGGGCATAGGTTGATAAGACAACATTATCAGAACCGTACAGATAAGCTACTGTAAATAAAAACTAACCACTGCCAAAACACCCATCTCCCTGTCTTCCAGCCTTGCGTTGTGTGGCCTTGCTCCAGCCCTGCTCCCCACCTGCTCTGGAGGCAACAGTACCTGCAGGGACGCACTCCCTTCAAGTGTCAAGCAGCTGGACGGACACGACCATCACAGCAAGGCGCCGAACACAGCGGCTCTGCTGCACTGAGGGTCTGCAGAGACTGGGGGAGCACCTGCACCCGAGGTCTACCACCAAATAATCTCCCAGGGCTTCCCAGCCTCATGAGTCCTGTCCTGGCTGGTGAGCAGTCCAACCAAGAGCTCTCTGGTAGGTAAGAGCCCTAAAAGTAATGTAGTAGCTGTAGTAGCATGTAGTTGTAAAGATAGGTTCATTATTATCAAACAGAATTAGGACTGGGTAAAGGCAGAAAAATCTTAGTTTTCCTACAACTTCAAGGACTGAAAGTGTAGGCCTGGTTTCACCTCTCCTCCCTCTCACAACCCAGACGTTTCCCTTGTGCTTTTCTAAGTGAGACCTAAGAAACAAGTTGAAAGATGAGCAAGAACAGTAGACCCAGGCCAAAAGTCTTTTTGTCCTACGCAGGAGCTAATTTCACGTTATGTAGAAACTAAATGCAGGGTTATGGCATTTAATTCCTTAAGCATTTTATCCGTGTAGCAAAAAATAAGGCAAAGACATCTCCTTTTTAACATTAGTATTATCTTGGTGTGTTTCAGTTTTTATTTTGGGAGGCTAAGATTGTGGTTCTAACGCAACACCTAACGTCTAATATCAGTGTGTCTTCAGCGCTGTAAACATGCCAAAAGTAAAACTCTGTGTTTTGTAGCTGGATAGCTGAAGTGACTCGTCATGACAATACTTGAAAATTTACCTTTCATAATAATAGACCAAAACTACTTCCAGTTGCTTAGTTTAGACTGATGGATTTATTTGAAATAATGAATAGTCATTGGTGTAGCTCCAAGGAATTTTGAGAGAACGTTTCATTGCAGTAAAGATAACTCAATTATTGGGTTGTAGAGAAGCAAAATTAATAGAGACTTACTACACAGGCTGGGAACACAATAGGACAGTCTGTACACTACAGAGACAGGAGTACTGTACCTCAGGGTCTTCAACCAGAGTCACAACTCTTCCAGGCTAAAATTAAAAGAAAATCATTGTTAGTTCAGTAAGAAGCTTTCATTGTAAATCACTGATGACAACAATTAATTAAAGCAAAACTATGTTGAATGCACCTTCCTCAGTCATGTTGCTTCTTCTCAGTACTGTGCTGTATTTTTTTCTCTATAATGACAACAAGGTAAACCTTCTCACTTGTACACAAAAAGTCTATACACAGGCATGGAAAAGAATGTAACATCGAAATCCAGCTTGCATACCCTAAGCAAGGTACTACCATTTCTGGTTTGGCTTGCACTAACTGGATTTTAGAAAATGTTAATTATACACCGTGACACATGGCAACTCCTAGGTTTAAAAGCACCCTGCACATTAGATGTTTTTGAAAACATACGGCAAAGAAATCTGCTTGGGATTTTTAGTAAGACAAAACTCTTTACGTCAGTACTGGGTAACTCAAAGTTGAAGAAAAAAAAAGAAAGGTTTTTGTACAGAAGACTGTTTTCTTCCTCTTTCCCCCCTCCCAGCTCCTTCTGTATTACTGGACAGAGGGAGGATACCTTTAGAATGGCTTCTTTTTCCTATGAGCTACCTCTTGCAGGGAGAGTAGGAAGTTAGTTAGTAAATACAGAAAAGATAATTAATGATTTTTTTTTTGTATGACCTGGCGAATCAGAGGATATCCCGCACTGGGAGGGACCCACAAGGATCACTGAGACCAACTACTAAATAACAGCATTTTAAAATATAAACATAGAACACTGTGAGGAAACTAGTACATCTGCAGTGTAAAATTGCTGATTTTGGCATCAAATTAGTGTACAAGTGTCTTTGGTTTGTTGTAAGGGAAAGCAGAGACATTGCCATTCATTCAGTTGTAGTCTAGGACAGAAATTAACTTTCTTAGGAGCTACAAAGATAACCTGAACTCAGTGTACGTGGATGCATGCCTTTCACTTAGTTTTAGCTAGCTTTCACTCTTCTACATCATTTCAGTCTTTTTCAGACTCATCTGTAGTAGTTTCATCGACATCTCAGTGCTTTTCTGTTTGCTTAGTCTATACCTGTATTTGTCTCTCTCACACAGTAATAACATGGGTCTTTGCCTACATTAAGCCTTTGGAAAGCCATACTTTCTTTTCATAACAAAAAAATATGAAATTTAGTTTTTACAGAACACTTAACTGATACTATCAACTATAGATACTATTTATTCAATGTTGGATCTTTTATAATCTTAAAGGCCGTTTATTTATAAGCTCTGAGGTGCTGCATTTTTTCATTCTCATGCCACTCTTCACCCAGCTTCAGCCATTTGTTTCTGATCTGATTGATAAAATAAGGCAACAAAACTAAGGAAGTACTAAAATGATTTCTATTTGAGAACATTGAGGAATCAGCTCTATACCACAGCTCTATACAATTAAGTGAGATAACTGAGGTGTTTCTTTATAAAAAGCATGACCTAGGAAATGCACCTGTTCATCTTAGTCTGTTTGAAAACAGTCTCAATCAATAAATTACCTGGAGCTGTTTTGCTGTCATTCAGTTTTTAATCTCAAAGGAAGCTGGTTAACACACTGCGCTAATAATAGTACTGAAGGGTTCACCTTGAGTTAGGCTAAATATGTCATGGACTGTTTATTTAGAGAGTGCGTCTTAAGGAGTCTCGTCCAGACAAGAACACTGAACTCGGTCTAGCTGTTCTCTCTTTTAATAGACGGGAAATTCTGATGATCAAATGTTTTTCTAAAGGTTTTAGGTTTAACAAACTGGGAACAAATGCTACCAAAACCGCCATACTGAGATAAAGACCCATGGTCTGTCACACTGTCTGTTTTAGGCTCTTTTCCTAAGCACCTGATGCTGTTGAAGAAACACATGCACACAATCATTTATGCAAGAAGCTGCTGGTGGGTATAAATGCGTGCATGGGTATTAGCACAAACAGAAGCAGTTCATCCACAATACTTTCCCCTATCTGTCACAGCATTAAAATCTATACCGAAGTCTTACTGTCTTAGCTACCACAATATCACCAATATCACTTTTCCACTCATTTGCCCAGTTTATTTTAACACCTTTTATATAGTCTCTGCCAAATCTCATGGCAGTGAGTTCTGCGATTTAAATACGTATTTTATTAGTTTTGTTTGCTCTCTTTTCCTTGAGCCTTCTTTCCTGATAATTTTAAGTATTTCTCAATCTGATGCTAGGAAAAATGGCTGATTCTTGCTGTCCATTCACTTTCTCTATACATTCACTCTTCTACAATGCAACTCTCACTACTGCTTTTTTTTTTTATTTGCCAAACTGAAGGATTTATTTCTCTTCATACAGAAGCAACTTTTCTCTGGCTGGGACGACTGACCCTCTCTGCACACTCACACGTATTTCTGTCATCCAGCTGTGCCATAATCATTCCAAGACAGAGTATCTGGTACTCCACAAAATTGTCGAGATACAGGTGTGCTTATTGGCTCATGTGCTAATCACCCTCCCCCCAGTTACTCATTTTCTAATGATTCAACATATGAGAAAGGCTGTCTTTACAAGAATAAGAATAATAAAACCATCCATAATGACACAGAGTTAGCTTCTGAGCTCTGACAGATAATACAGAATATGGCTTAGTTTTCTATATGGCCATCAGCTTCTTCCATAGTTGTTAACACTTCTCTGACTTGTCTTTTCCATAGTGGTCACTAAGAATTTGTAACTGGTAGATTAAAGAGACATTTTGTGGTGTGAAACCGCTTTCTCTGTATTACCAGCAATGCCTGTATCTGAAGCCTAACTAATAAATGTAAAATACTGAAACAGTAAAGTTAAAAGTTCTGAAAGCAGTGAAGTACTGAGTAGGTCATCTTCAAATCAGCTGTGTGATGAAAGCACAATCTGTTTGTCTACATAAGGCCAGGATATTTGTTCTATTGGATTGTAGAGTCTGTCTTGCACGGAGCTGCCTAAACCAAACACTATTACGGAACCACAGGTGTTACCCATGCCAGCTAAGTAAAGAAAGTCATGTATCTGTAAATGACTGGCTATATAATATAAACCAAAATGATTTCTGTTGTGTCCAAGGAGTACTGCCAAGGGCAAACCTGAATGACCTCCTAAATCAGGTGTCTTTGAGGAATTCCTTTCAGTTCCGTGCAGCCTGCAGTTCCTTAGATCTAGCTGATGTGTCCTATGAAACTGAAGGAAGATCTTCCATGGCTACGCTAGATTGTTTTCAGTGATACCATAAAGTGTTCAGGTATTAAAACTACTGAACATTTACTGATTGAAAAAATTTGAACATTTACTGAATCAATTAGTTTTGGCATCTGGGTGTGAAAATAAGGTGGAATAAGAGGGAACATTACGTTAGAAATGATTTTAGTTTGATTATCTCTTAAAAAACTTTCAGAAAGGGGAATAAAAGTTTGCTACTAAGTAGGAATATAATAATTTTAAATGGTTTCCTTAAAGAACAAGATTATTTAAACAAAGAGGAGCTTCTTGTGCTTCATTTTCCTGCACCTAGTGATAGCATAACAGGAGCTGTCTGTCTGTCCTCCCCTAGGCCCCTTGCTGGGGACATCCAGTGGAGCTGGGGTTGATTTTCAAAGGCTGGCAATCCTGGATTTTCACTGCCCCAGAACAGACAGTAGAGAAATGCAGAGGCTAGCAGGATCCTGTAACACCTTCACAGCGAATCTTATTTGGACAGTTTCCTGATGGGACTTCTTTTCTCCATTTCACATTTAACAAACTAAAAGCCCTTCATCATCTTGGTTTAACTGTAAGCTGAATTATTCTGTATAAACTTGGTAACCCCATGTCAGAGTGCACATGTGGGAGTCCCATAGGGGTTAAAAGCAGGCAGCAGGAGTGAAATGAATCATGTCATCAAGTTTCCTTAGTGGTTTGTTGTTGTTGTTGTTGTTTTTATCAAAGCACATCCAAAGGTTAGCTACAGAGTCTCTAGCAGATCCAGATATACACCGACAGCCCACATGGCAGAGCTGCCACTGCACTGGGCAGCAAAGCTGGGGAGCAGCTACAGCAGATGGGAAGGGGATTACAAGGAGAACCCACCAAATTCTGCTGTTTGGCTGCAGAAAGCTCTCAGTGTGGTTGGAACCATATTGTGCTAACAGTGGTTTCACACTTCAGCCCTTGCATGTATTTGCATTTCAGTGCTGTTCCTATGGTTTACAGCAGACGGATGCAGAACTTGACTCACACGAGGAAAAGGGCAGAACTGAAGCATGCAGTCCCACCTCAGCACTGCACATGGCTCTTGTTGCCTTGCACAGAACAGCCTTGAAAAAAAAACAGGGTCTATGGGCACACACATCTCTAGGCTCTTCAGAGAGCTGCTGAACGTTACAATAGTTCAGATTAATGCATCTGGGTGAGATTATGCCCCCACATTTTATATTAGTTGAGGAGGTCTGAATAATTTTAGCAAATCTTGAAACCTGGGAATGTTTTAGGGAACTGGAGCATAACAAGAACTCAGTATTTTTAAAGTATAAAATTAGTAGCCTAGGGAACTGTAGATTATTCTGATACTGCTGGAAGAAAAACAGAACTGTTATGTTGAGAATCTCAGACAATGAACACTAAAAATACAGTTTGTGAACATGAAAAGCTGGTTATTTCAGAAAAGGAGCTGGGATTATCATCATAGTATGAGCTCTCTGCTTTGTTATTGGAAAAAGAGAAAAGTTTAATGTTGGTGATGTTTTTAACACCACTCTCTTCTCTCCCTCCCCCCTGCCAAAAAAAAGAAAAAAAAATAAAAAAGTTGAATATATTAAGTGATTATGCAGGAATCACGCTTTAGGAGATTTGGAAACACTGAAAAGTCCAACAGGTGACCAAAACCAGCAATGCACAGGTTAGAAAACTGGCCTTACTAGATGAGGTTTTGGAAGCTTTGAACCTTATTTTTTTGGAGTGAAAATACTAAGTTATGCTTTGGTGATGTTGTATTTAAAAATACACAATTTCCCCCTCATTCTAGTCTGAGAGGTTTTACATGAATCAGGCAGGACTGTATTTCTGTTGCCATTTTTTCTAAAGCTTGGAGTAAGAAATTTGAATTTGCCATTTATGCAAACAACCTTTCTTTCTTATTCAGGTCTTTCTAAGCCAATGGCTCTTTTTTTTCAGGGAACACTGTTATTGCCTGATAAGATTCAAGCAGCTTTAAAGTAATGCTTGGACTAATCCAACAAAAATCTTAAGTAGAGCTAATGCATAAATTCAGGAATATTTTGAAAAACAAAATCTTTTTTTTTTCTGCACTCTGATCTTAAAAACTTTTTTCCAATTTATCATCCTGTAAACTACAAAATATGGCACCACGATGAAACATCACTTTATAACTAGTTAACCTTCTTACTACAATATAAGTTGAGCAGTTCAAAGTACGAGTACAGGGTCAACTGAGTTTTGCACTAAAAGCTTGCAGCCATTGTATGTAAAAGTGCTCTGTATGTTTTTGTTGCGCTGACCGTGGAATGTTGTAGCAACTCGTGTTTTCAGGAGGGCCTTTTTTAACTTGCTGGCTAGAATTTCAGTGCTGTTCTTTAAAATGCATTAGTACTGAAGGACCAATTTCACTTGTAGTTCACCCACAAGAGACGTCATCTCCGATGTCACAGAGGTTTTAATGGTTTTATAGCGGCAATTATTTGGCCTGGTTAAATGGAAGTATCCACGGTGTGCTTCTCAGCATTCACTGAGGCAGCTTCTTTGCCTTGGAAGTAACAGCAACAATTCATGGACTGCAGCAATGCAAGAGGGCATTAACTTGTTGATTCTGAGAAAAAATGTGTATTTGTTAATGCTAAGTGTTTCTGTAAACAAAAATAAAATGTATTAACCAGTTTGCATGAATAATAATGCACTGTTTCTAAACAGAAATAGACCAGTGCACAGGCACTGTTGTTTTTTGTTTGTTTGTTTTAAGGCTCTGTATGCCTGCAGATGATGGTTCTGGGCATGACCTAGACTGGGGCAGAAATTCAAAGAATTAAGCTTCCTGGAACAAAGGTTGTGCTAGTTGATAGTAACCTGGCACGGCCATTTTGCAAGACTTTCCAAATTTGCACAAACACACTCTGGGTATCCCCTGAATTTCAGCTAGCCCAAAAGAAGGTAATACAGTGGGGTCTCCAAGGATATCTGCAGAAAGGAAGAACTGGCCTGTGAGGGTTTCATTACTTTCTGAAGCGCAAAGAGAGGACTTTCTGTACGGATGTAAAAATATTGCTTTAAAGCCTGGCTTCCCAAGTTCAGGAGGCTTATGGATCAGCCACTCTTATGCCCCACCTGAACAATATTTTGCATGTTTTTTTCAGGACTTCCGAATTCAGTAAAGGAATAGAAATGTCACAGTGCTCACGTAAACACAGTTTGAAGAGGGATGACTGGTGAGTGAGGAATCAGGGCTCCTACTGAGAAAGCACTGGGCTGTCCTGCCAGCATCCCCTCTTATCCAGCCACGTGCAGCTGGAGGAACGCTTACTCAGAGTGACTTTGTGCTGGTAAGTACTGTGCAAGCTATTCTGTGGTCTCTGATGCAGTAATTAGTGCTAGTTGGGACTAAATGAAAACTTTTCCCATGCTACACGTAGCATGCTGGTTTATTTATAAAAAGAATCCTTATGCCCTTGCTGGGGGTGCTCTTCCAAAATTACGTTCCAGCTTGAGAGTGGAGTCACCGGGTCTGACAGCTGCTTTAGCAAGCATCAGGAAAACAAGTTTACGCTATACAAAACCAACATTCAAAGTAGGTAAATTGTTGGAGAGCCGAACCCAAGTATCAGTTTCTGTACATATATGATCAGTTTGCATTTCTGATGACTCAGCTGTGAGCAGCATCTGCAGCTGTAAATAACACAGTCCTGCCACATCAAAGGCATTCATCTAACCCGCTGGGTGGTTCTGTAACCTATTGTTTCTTTAGCATTTGTTGAGCCATTTAGAATTATATGAGGGTGATAGCCCCTGTATGGGGAGGGTGATACAGGCTCCCACAGCAGAGAACTATTATTCTCGTGCCAGTGGCTAAAAAACACCTATGTTCCAATGAAATTGAAAGTGCCTGCTGCTGGATTTTTAGGTTTTTCATAGTTTTTTCTGACCAGTAAATAAGCTGCTTTCAGTAAAAAAGAAAGCAAGCTGAAAAACAACCGCAAGGTGCATGCATGCTCAGGTGCACGGGTCTGGCCCTCACTTCCCAAGCAGCCTTTCTGCCCAAAGCCAGGCACCCACAGCCTGCAGTACTTTAAATATTTAGAATATTTTGATCCATGTCTGTATAAATGAGTGAGCAGCACGCTTATTTTTCCCCTATTAAAAAGGACAGATGGTGATTTTTGTTATCATTTCCCTGTCAGAAGTTCACTAGAAGTTTTTTTTTTTTCATTGACAGCAGAGAATCCAGGAGGAAATGAATCCTTGGACTTTCAAAGGATAAAACAAACCAAAAATAAAGGTCAAAGTGTGGTTATTGATCCCGGGTGGCTGACAGGGGATGCCCGGAGCGTCTGCCCCCGGCAGGCAGCAGGTGCTGCCCAGGTGAGGAGCAGGCTCCGGTGTGGCCGCTCCCCAGCCCGGCCCGGCCCGCCGCCGCCTCACCTTGCCCGGCACGCCGCGGTGGTCGGTGCTGCCCTGCCAGAAGCGGCGGCTGTAGCCCAGGATGCGCCCCACCATCTTCTCCTCGAAGGGGAAGTCCACCTTCCAGATGAGGGAGCCGTAGCCGAACACCCACATGGCCGCCGCCCGCCGCGCTGCCCCGACTGCGGGCGGGGCCGGGCCGGGCCGGCCGCGGGGCCTGCGCGCTGCCAGCGGGGCGGGCACGGAGGGGACGGCACCGGGGGGAGCCCGGCCCCCGCAGCGCCGCCTCCGCGGGGCCGGTGGCGAACGGGGACCGGTCCCTGTGCCCTCGCTCCCTCCCCGAGCCGCGGGGCGCCGGGCTTGCAAACGCGCCTCAGGCAGCGGCCCCGCTGAGGGGAAGCGGGGCGGCCTCAGGTGCGCCGGGCTGGCGGCTGGAGGCCGGCACCAGGCGCTTGGGAAGCGGCTGAGAAGGCAGCGGGCAGCCGAGGGTAACACGGGGGGGTCCCTCATGGGTCCCTCATGGGTCCCTCATGGGTCCCTCATGGGTCCCTCATGGGTCCCTCATGGGTCCTAGGGTTTCCCAGCGGCACCTTTTCCTAGGGGGTGCGTGCTGCTGTCAGAGCTCAGGCTGACTGCCGCCTGGGGAAGAGTTGTGGTGTATTGCAGAGTTTGTTCTCGACCGTGTTTTGTGGCCTAAATGCTACGCTTTGTGCTCGGAGGTGGAGTAGGTCTAGAAATCGCTTTTTATTTTAAGTTAATTTGGCTTCGTAGCGTGTCATAAAATTGTAAAATCATGTAGTCTTTTTGTGTTGTCTTTCGTTTCTTTTTAGGACGGAAAGGAGGTGGAGGAGTAAATCTGCATGAAGATGCTTCAAGTCTTTTTTTTTGTTGTTGTTGTGGGTTGGCAGGGTGCCTCTGATGGTTCCCATCTGTATGTGGGTTCCTAACCCGAGCGGCTTGAAATGCCAAGATTTCTTCCTCAAGGGTTGCTGCACTAAGGCTCTGCTTTCTCGTTCATTCAGGGTGCTTCTGGCCCTGTGTTGAAAGCTACCTCTGCTGCAATCTGTGTACGTCTTGTACTAACAACCACTTTTTTTTTTTTTTCTCTCTCTTGTCATCTTCCCCTTCCTACCGCAGACCTCATCTAACAAAGGATGGATTTCACAGAGGCGTATTCTGATCGGTGTTCCACTGTGGGACTCGCAGCAAGAGAAGGAAATGTTAAAATGCTGAGGAAACTGATTAAACAGGGGTACAGTCTCGATGTCCCAGATAACAGGGGGTGGATGCCAATCCACGAAGCAGCAGCTCACAATGCCAGTGAATGTCTGAGGCTGCTAATTGATGCAGGTAAGGAAAAAAATACATGGAATAGCTCAAATTGCTGCTAAACTCCCCTGTGACATAAAATAAAAACTAGGTTTCTATTGTTGTGTTCTTATGTAAATTTGTTTCATAGACATTGACTAGATATAGTAAAGTGGCCATGTTGTAGCCTGTGAATGACAACTGGTTTTACTTTACCTTTTCAGTCCAAGGTAGGTATATGCTTTGGGCAGCAATAACTGATGCTGCTGTTTGAAGGAGTCCATCAGCACGTTCATGGACATGCTGCAGGCCTCCCATCTCCAATAACTCAGTTATTTTAAATTATTTTAAGAACTGTGTTTTGCAATTTATTGCAATTTATTGTTACAATCTGTAGCTCCATCTGACAACTACATAAATTCAAAGACGTTTGAAGGCATGGGTGCACTGCACCTTTCTGCACGCTGTGGCTCTTTGGAAAACGTCGGTGTTCTTCTAGAAGCTGGAGTCAATGCTGATGAAGTTACCACTGAGGCAACCACCGCGCTCTTCCTAGGTGATGAATGCTTCTGTGAAATCTTAGACTGACTGATATGTGGGGAGAAGTTGTGGTATATTCCAGAGTTTATTCTCTATCATGTTTCATATTTTTGTAGCCTAAATACTATGCTTTGTGCTCGGAGGTGGAGTAGGTCTAGCAATTACTTTCAGCTTCAAAGCTGAATGCACTGCCCCTTCTTTCCCTCCTTCACTCTCCATTAATTTGACTTACCTGATCTGAGGAGATAATGTTAATGATGAAGATCTTACTGTTCAGAAAGAGGCAGTAGTTCTTCAGATCTTCCTGAAGGCTGATGCATTTGATCTCTAATTCATGGATGCTTCATGTGTATTACTGCTAAGATACTACTTAGACAAATAAGTTATTTTTCTTATGTCTGTCTTTCTAATGTACATAAACCAAAACTGGAAGGGATATTTACACCTTTTGTATTGATTGGCAAGTTATTTTTTTTCACTGAGCAAAGGAAAAGAGTAAGTTCTACACCATGTTTAAGTAAACATAAATTCAATTCCATGTTCATACACCTCAAACAGTACATGAATGATGTTAAAATACAATAGGGTTTGCTGTGGTGGCTGTGGGGTGTTATGGTGGTAAACAAGGTTTATGCAGAATGAGAGTATTTTTTTCTAAGCACATCACTTGTCTAATAAATAAAGTTCCAGGCATATTAACTACTTGTAATAGGACATGTAAAATTGCTAAAACCATTTCTCTGATTTTCATTTGGTAGTTTAACAACTAAGGTTCCTTAGTTTAATAATCTTCTATAGTTTTTGTTTACATCTTTAAATGCTTAAGACTTCTATAGTGAATCCTCAGAATACTAATTATTGAATTAAATATGCTTGTTGTTTTACAAACACTGTGATTGCCACGTTAACTTTTACCTACAAGTCTGTTGACACTTCATTTTTAAACAACTAAATAGGTTATTTATTTAAAAGAATCTGTAGCAGACAGCACTTGTGGGGAAATCTTCATTAAAGGCACACTGGATAGAGGTACAGTATGCCTAAGTGCTCACATAGATGAGAGACTGGACCAAGGAACGGTCCTGGGGTTGTGTAGCCAAGGGATTTTCAAAACAGAAAAAGTTCATGGCCAGGTATCCAGAGAGCAGAATAGGGCTACGGCACAGCTCAGTGTTGGACACTGAGTACTGCAAGCCAGAGGCACCCATTTTGCAAGCATGTGCATGAATATTTGAAAAATAGTGATGATTCACAGGTGATTTATCACCGTATCAAGCACTCCCTGGTACAAGAGAAGTGTGTCTTGGCAGAATTGGTGATGGCAGAAATACAAGGATGAGTCAGGATACTGAAGGAGGCTTTGTCTACGAATATACTTGTATAAACTAAATGTACAATTTATAAATGAATTTTATATAGATGTTAAACCACAGTTTTAAACTTTTTTTTCTGTAACAAGTTTGAGTTTGGAGGAAGTTGCTGGGACATAACAGTGGGCTTCCTAAGTTCAGGAGGCCACAGCAACTGTCGCACAGTTAGCTGCCAGCCCCAGAATTGTCTCAGATTCACAGGAGAGAAACTTGCTTTTGTTGTGCGTATTAGTGCAATGGGGGTGGGATTTTAACACATCTAACTAGACCTTTTGCGACTGAATTTCCATTCTCTGCATCTGTGTTTTTGCAGTTTAAATGTAAAAGGCAAGTAAGCAAATACACGTATAAAAGAATTAGGATTATTGTGTCAGGAACTTAGTGTTGAGAGCATCTGAGATTTTCAATGAGTTCTTTAACTTAATAAGGAGATTTTTTTTTGGTTGTTTTACTCTTTTGTTTGAAGCTGTTGAAAACGGACATGTAGAGGTTGTAAAGCTTCTGCTCCAACATGGAGCAAATGTTGAAGGACCTCATTCCTGGTCTGGGTGGAATTCTTTGCACCAAGCTGCTTTTCAGGTAACCTGGAAGTGTATCATACCGTTTCCGTGTAACTGGTGTATTCTGAGTGGTAGTTTGTATATTTTTTGCCTTTTTATCAGATGATTTTCTTTCCTAACCTACCCTAATAGTCACGTACATATAATGTACAGAAGAGTGTATCTGATATGATATGATATGATATGATGAAACTGTGACATCTTGATGTTGGGAAGCAGTAATTATTTAACTATTACAAATATTGCAAGCACTTACAAGCTCACTGACTGTATCTGTTACAAGATTTTTTCTGAGAAAGAATTCCATTTAGTATTTCCTGATCCCTGAGTTCTAAGACGTGTTTCTAGCATGGAAATATATTAGCTCAATGGTTCTATAAACTAATTTAATTTCCATTTGTATTAGGTAAATGAACAAATGTGAAAAAAGAAATAGTTTATTTTTTTCCAACTTTAATTTTGCAGTATACCTCTAGAATATATTGCATTTTTTCTGATTTCTGTTTAGAAGGGGGGAGGGGGGAGCAGATTATGTAAATTCCAGATCTTTTGTTGTTGTTAAGAATAAAAATATTTATTTCAGGGATACACTGAAATAATTAAAATACTCCTGGAGAAAGGTGCAAGCATTGAATGTAAGGACGACTTCGGAATTACACCTTTGTTTGTTGCTGCTCAGTATGGAAAGCTGGAGAGCTTAAGAGTGCTTGTATCCCATGGTAATTGCAGTCTTTTGTTTGTCTTTATTGTTTTTAAGCTTGCATCAGCCTGTCATCAGATACAATTTTAGTTCCACTTTTACAATTCATAACTTCACATTTAAATAATGTAATCTAGATGTAGTTAGTTAGGTATGCAAAACTACCTTAATTACTAAAAAGCTGATTTAGGAATTTGATGTTGTTTTCATCAAGTGATAGTAGGAAATAATAAAACTATGAAAAAAGTAAGGATCATCAGGGTTTCAAAACACCTTCAATAGCACTACGTTAGCACTGTTTTGATGACATCCTCTCTCTGGTCACAAAGCAGTCAGCAGTAGTTTCATCCAGATAGTGAACAAGTTTCATGTGTCTAAGTGCATGTATAGTCAAAATTAAGTGAGTAACTTGTTTGTTTTGTGTTGAGTAATCTCAAGTGTTGGATTTATGTCAGGCGCAGACATCAACTGTCAGGCCAAAGACAGAGCCACTCCACTACTGATCGCTGCGCAGGAGGGCCATGCAAAGTGTGTGGAGCTGTTACTGTCAAAAGGGGCAGATCCAAACCTCTACTGCAACGAGGACAACTGGCAGTTACCTATTCACGCAGCAGCTGAAATGGGCCATAAAAAGTAGGTGGTCAAAAAGACATTCAAAGCATTCTGGTGTTAAAAGCTTAACCAACAAAGAGGATGTTCAGCTCTAAAAGGAAGATAAATGAGTTTTCAAGCTGATTTGTAGTTTAGGATTTCTTAATCTTTCATATTTTAAATGGCTGTCAGTAGTCCCAGTGAAGTGATCAACTGTTTTGAAGTCACCTTCTGATCAGGGTCTGATCCATAACTGAGTAACTCTTTAGAAGGGTTTCCACAGTCCTGAATCGGATACTAATTTAGTTAGTGGCCGTGTTATTTGTGCATCTTAAAATGTACAGAACAGTAGCATATGATTCATTCACAACTTGAACAGCTCTTAATTAGAATTACAGTTGTGTCTGTGAAGTAATTTTATGCAAATAATGAATTAGCTGACCCAGGGAGAAACTGAAAGCCAACAAAACAGTTCCTTCAGTCCTTCTTATTCTAGCTTTGCTCGATTCTGATGAAATAAGTCACTTTTACAGCTGAAAACCAAGAGTGGAAAGAAATTTCTGGAGTTACGGGCCATTGCAGAAAAGCATTTGTCAGGAAGCCCATGGTTGCACGTGCATGACAGCACTTACTTGTACTAATGATGATGCTAACTGCAGGTCTCTCAGTAGGTGCTTGATCTTAACTGTTGACAGCAGAGGTTCATGAACTGAGCTGTCATTGAACTTTGGGTGTCAAATTGATGCCTCTTCTCAAACTGATGAGGAGGGCAGACTGTGCTTAGATACTGAGCTGCTTTTTCTTCATTTTATCAGAAACAGAAGATGGGTTGGCAAAAATGTCAACGTTAGGAATGTCTTCAAATCAAATGCTGCATTCATAGCTGTTGCAGCACTACGTAACTGGCAGTCTGAGCAGCATCAATAAATTCTCGTAGCAAAGGAACTGGTGTTTACCCTGTAATTCTCATTAGCTGGGAAGGATGTGGAGGGTGAAATAGACTGATTTGTCTGCTTCAGTGTCTCAGTGAGCGTTGTAGAACAGAAGGAAATACTCATTTGCAACTTGCATATTGAGTTCACTTCCAGGCTTCATAGGAGTCTAGTTTTAAATGTGCACCAGAGGTACCCTATTGCTGTAAAAAGGATCGTTGGAAAATAGGAAATATGGCTCTCATTTGAATTAAAACATATGTATTGCTGGCCTCCTTTGAATAACAGAATACAAGATTTTAGAGGCACCTAAGCCTGTACGTGGCAGTGCAGTTTTTTCTGCCCATCATCAGTGTAAATCCAAGCGGAAGCACGCTCTGGGTGTGGGTATGAAATGACAATGGTTCTTTAAAGCAAACTAAGCAGTGAAAAAACAGGTAGGGTTTTTTTCTTGAGTTGTAATGACCATATGAAAAATAATCATACATTTGAAATGTAATCATTGCATAAGGTCATGCAATTAAATAGTGTTTTTTAAATATTTGCAGTATACTAGAGATGCTAATACCAATTACTGACCGGATTTGTGACAGAGAAAAAGGCAAAGTGAGCCCTGTGTATTCAGCAGTATATGGAGGTAATAAAGAATGTTTGGAAATGTTACTTAAAGAAGGCTACAGTCCAGATGCTCAGGAGTGCCTTAGCTTCGACTGCAGATCACCCATGTGTATGGTTTTCCAAAAAAAGTAAGTATAACTATTCTATTCTGAAATTATTCATAACTCTGCTGGTCTTCTATTTAACTTTTTTTTAAAAAAAATATGTGGGGTTTCCTTGCCCTTTTTCTTCCAACTCGTGAGCTGGCAGAATTAAACCGTAAGTACAAAGATGGTGTGTGGAGTTGTTGAAGGCTCCTAGGGGAAGCTTGGTCTTTGAAGGGGACTCCTATAGAACATAACTGCAGGTTTTGTGCTTTGAAGAGGCCTTATCGACACACCTCTGTCTTCTGGGAACATGCCTTGATGCTCTAATTCAGTACAGAGGACTCTTAATTAGCTAAATTCCTTTTGGTAAGGATGAATTACTGGAAAATAGTGCTGTACTTTTCTGTATGCCGGTCTTCTGCATAAGACTAGCAGAATTAATCAGGTCAACATTATAGCTGTAAGGAGGACTTCAAAATGGAATAAATTTGATGTAATGACTAATTTCTTTCTGTATCTGGTAGATAGTGCACACCCCTGATATTCAACAGGAAATAAAATAATGCTTACTTCATAATACAAAGGCTGTTAAAGTAGAGGAAAAATAGTAAGGTCTAAGAGCCTTACTGCTCTGTATGCGTATGGTATGTCTGTGAGCTGTTCTTAGTGAACTTCTTGTTGATTTTTTCCTTTAGTAATGAATCTGTTCCTTCATTTTTCTGTGGGAAATTAATTTGTGGAAGAGTGGGCTATTTTTATTTTATTATTCTAAGAGATCCAGATGTTGCTGTCCCTAGGTTCGCCTTGTCCTTCTCCCAGAGTAATTCAGTTTATAAAATATACGAGGGACTGAATGCTGACACAGCTCAAAGCAAGATTGAGAATCAAATCTGGATCGCTTCTTGGCAGCACTGAGTTTTGCACAGAGCTCTGATGTTTTAGATTCTAATTGAGAACAACTGCCTAATACTGCTTTATGCCTTAGGGCAATGGAGAAATTTTAATGTGGTAGAGAATCCATCTGAAAACAACTTTTTAAAAATTCAGTTGATTGCTGTCTTCTGTCTAATATTTTGCCAGAATTCAAGTTAGTTGACCCTTTGTAGACAGTCTTCCTTGGGAACATCAACCCGGAGTAATGTTACATGCCCAGTGTGCTTCATTAGAGAAAATACCTTCATAGAGACTTTTAAATTTTCTTAAAACTCACATTCTAACAGAGTGTTCGACATTCATGGATCAAAATTTGTTGCTTGTGCTGTTCAAATTCGTGAACTTTTGGTAGTTTTGAATTTTGTTCACACACCCCCCCCCGCATTAAAATGCACATTATACAGTAGATCCAAAAGTATAGGGAGATTCTGTGGCTACCTTACATTTGTGACTCATGATTTCAGTTTCTTATTTTTGAATCTTGTTTTCCACATTTGACCTTTTCTGATTTCCTTTATTTAAGGAAGAAAAATCAAAGCATGCAATACTTTAACAGTTTCAAAACCTCATCACCTGCAAACCTTCTTAGCTAAAATACAAAGGTGAGAGGAGATGTATCTCAGTGCCCTGACTGCTGTAACTAACTGAGGCTTGAACACAGGCATACAGCCTATCTGAGAAATTGCTTTTTGTGAAAAAGCCTGCCCTCATTTTTCTTTCTCATTTGTGAGAAAGCCTGCTGGAAGGAACCACGGGTTTCTCAGGACAGAAGAGACAAATGTGTTAAATATAAGGACCAGGGTCTCCTAAACCAGTTTAGGTTTAAACTGATGCTTTCTAGAAACAATTGGAGTCAGGCTGGTGTGGTTTTCTTTGGGTTTGTGGGGATTTCTCATAGAGGAAGTATGCTTGCTCAGTGGCAACAACTTAAAGATGCTTTTCTGTGAAAAACTAATGGGATGTCCTGTTCCGTGTGTGCTGCTCATAGGTTTTTTAATTTAATTGGTATTTTTCTGAAATACGGGATCACGCTGCTTGGGATCAATTTGGGATATTGCCTGTGCCATGAAAAGTTTACGTTGTTTCGACGCTTCTTGAAGTTGGGCTGTTCACTGCCTTCTGGCGATCAGTTATCAGAGTTCATAAGTTACGCAGTTAAAGCACACGAGGATTACAAGGAATGGCTGCCCCACCTGCTCTTGGCTGGTTTTAATCCAGTGAATTTGCTGTTCAGGTTCTGGTAAGCAGACATGATCTTGTTTTCTTAAATGTTGTATGCTAATCTGTAAAGCTGTTGCAAATGAGAGTTTTTAGCTAGGAGTTAGTGATTATCAGTTGTCATGATCAGGAATGGGAAGGGTTAGGGAAGGTCTGAAATAAGGTTCATGGATAATGGCTGGATTGAGTAAAACAAATGACAGTCAGGAAGATGGCAGAATGAAGACTGTTCTATTCCTACCCTGGAGAAAGGCATCTTTTCTTGCTTTTTAAACTCAGCATTTCTTAAAAGCACCCATGTTTTGTTGCAAGTTGAGTTTCTATGTATAATACAGGAATTGTAGGAAGAATTTCAAATACCGAGAAAGGTTAAGAGGGATAGGAAACAAATGGAAGTTGAAGGTGGCCTGAGGTTAGGAGCAAAGGAAAGAGAGCTAGAGCTTGTGTTAAACAAAATACTGTGGGAAAAGTATTCTTCTGTGTATAAGTAACTGCTTGGTGCTGGTTTATATTTAATTAGGCACTGCAGAGTTAAACATGTACATAAAATTATGAAGTATTTGTATTTCCTTCTGTTTTTTTTTCCTGTCCATGGAAAAGATGCTTAGATTTGATCAACTTCATACTTTTAAGTGGTTAACAAGATAATTTATGCTCTGTAACGTCATTGCATACATCACTTAACTGTATGAAAGGAGTACGATTTTAAGATTTTACATCATAATCCACAGAACTGATGTTTCTATGAGTTTAACTTCAGTATTGACTATTCTGTCTTGGAAAGTAACAAGAGGATAACAGAGCAATGATAGGTATATGGTTGATTAACTGCCCCTGGCTCATTGTGCAAAACAACTATATAATTATAAACACGTCAGTCTAGAGCATTGGCACTTTTAATTACCAGCAGGAAAGTGAAGTCACCCTTCTCTTTAAGAAGGCCAAGCAGTCAGAGCTCGCTCCTGGGTGCTTTTCAATAAGTGTATAAAAGTAAATCTCTGTGTTGGAAACTGAAATAATAAAAACTAGAAAGGACATAAAATATTTTTGACACGACTCTCTTAAAAAAGGAAGTGTATGAAAAATGTTTAGTATTTTGTGTGTTTACAGCATTTTATATTTCCATTTAGATGAAAATTCAGGATTGTATATATATACAGATAAGAAGCTGTTCTATGAAATTGCGTGACTGTTCATCATGTGTAGTACTAAAAAAGCTGTTTTACCTGCTGTTACTTTAAGCCTCTTTATAAGTTCCATCCAGTTAAACTATTGCTAGAAGTTCTTTCTACATTCTAAAGAAATGAAATGTAGGAGAGTTTGAAACACTTGCAAATTTTGTTGTTTTGTTTGATTGTTTTAAATAAGTAGCTAAATATTTGCTATGTGTTTTTTTTTTTTTCCCTCAAACATGATGGTAATGCTTGTAACACCCTGTTGTCTCACCACCTTAACTAGAATTTAGGTGTAAATTGAATAAGAAGTAAGTGCAGAGAAGAGTGCTCTCTTTTACCAAGGCATTTGTATTTCAGAACAGGTATTTTTCTCTTGCAGTCTAGCTTACTTCTGAAAAAAAAAGTAACTGAGGAAGATAAAATCCTTAGTAAGGAGTCATGCTGTCAGAATTACTTTGAATTTTGATTTAATGGTTTTCTGTGCTTGGAATATATATTGTTATGGATTTGTTAAAAACAAGAAAACTTTCTGGGTGTTACTTCTATTACTATATTTATGCTATTGTGTAAAGTGATATCTTACGGGAGTTGTGTTGTGCAGGATTTACTCTGTGAGTGAGGATGTCCTTAATTTCATTCTGGAGTTCACAAACTGGAAGAGACTTCCCCCAGCTGTCGAACGAGACCTTTCAGACTACAAAGAGAAATTCAGCTGGACTCCCAAGAGCCATTTTGGTAAGCTAAACAATTGGAAAAATAAGTCTCTGTGTATACTGATCTCCAGGATATAAGTGGGAAACAGCTCTTTGTCCTAACACATAAATGCAAAGAAGGTCAAATAGTCAGTAGATACTGCTTGTCCAGAAACTGGGCAGCAGAAACAATAGTTACCGAAAACAAGCAAACAAAACATATCTGAATGAATTTTACTGATTTCATTGTTCGATTCATAGTTCATGTGTTTCAGTTCGGGTTATCTTTTCCACTTCAATTTAACAAGCATGCTATAAAATATGGGCAGCGACTATAAGTTAGTACTGCATCTTCCTAAAGATCCTCTTCTGGGAAGATTTAAGTTGCATTTTCTAGACAATATCCCGCTGCCTTTGTTTTTAAAATTGATTTGTATTTCTAACAAAGTGTCTATCTTGTTCTGGAAGCATTGACAGTAATTAAAATAAAAGCCATCTATATCATCATACTAAATACCTACAAATCTAGAAATTCATTATCACTCCTGTAATTGAAACAAAGTCAGCCAAAACGATTCAATTACAGATTGTCCAGGAACACCAGTGCTTGATGTTTTCACCTTCCAGAAAAGCAGCTTTAACATAGAGCTTGCACTGTGACCTATGCATTATGTTACTGAAAAACTGCTCAGATATGTTAGTGACTCAGTTTAAAGCATATTCTTCTTTAAATTGGCTACAATAATTTTGAAAACATCTAAATCATATTATTGTTATTAAATAAGACTTTATTTGGAATATTTAACGCTAATGAGGATATATTTTTGGAGTGTTAAAAAAAAAAAGGCTTTATTTGGGGATATTTATTTGAAGTTCTTTTGGTTCCTTTGTTGTTAATAAATGTATGTGTGTTGTAATAGTATTTAATACCCTGTAACCAAATAGCAATACTTGTAACTTAAGTATTATATGTATTATATTTAATGATATAATAATATATTAAATATATTATTGTTGCTATTATTATTATCTATTACAAATAGCAATACTGACCAAACCTGCAGAGAGGAAGAAGGTGGGAAGACAGTTTTTCACTTTTTCATTCTTTCAGCCAAGAAGTCAGGGCAAGGAAATATGCTGAGCAGTATTTCCCCCTTGAGGAGTATTAAGTACTCTGAGATAACTGAGATAAGCTGGTCATGTGAGTGAGCACAAGAAATTAAAAATGAAGAGTTCGTGCTGAAAAATTCAAGAACTGACATTCATACCTCCAGCTGAAGGCTTACAAAATGTATAGTCCCGTAAAGTTTTGTATTTCAATAGAGAAGGATGAGTATGGCAACTGCATAAATGATTGCTGTTAATATTACAGCAAAAAAGCTGATGTGGCAGAGAAGTGTCCTTCACAGTCAACAATTCTGCCTCGTTACCTGGCTGAGACTGGGGGGTTTCAGAGGGATCTATGTAAACTAAGCAGACAGGCAGTGTAGTCCCGTGGTTCTGTTCACCACTTGATCCGTTTTGTATTCCTCAGCCTTCATTCCTTCCCTGTCTCACCTGTGTCGTCTTGAGATCCGGTCCATTTTAACGAGTGAACGCCTGCGATCGGACCGCTTCATCCGGGACTTGCCGCTGCCGGCCTGTCTGCAGGACTACCTCCTGTACCTGGACGTACTTCGTGCCAGCGCTGTCCCAGAGCAGGAGGATTGCCTGGGGCAGCGAGAGGAGGCAGTTCACTCTGCCACCACCTCCAGCTCTGAAGATGCAGAGAGGAGGGACAGTCTGTAATGCCAGCACTAGCTGATGGCACTGCCAGCGATTCAACGCTGTGGCTGCAGGTTTTGTAAAGGCAGTTAGCAGGCACCGGGGACGTACTGCTGTAAGTAAGGTTGCAGAAATGAATCTTTTCATGCTGCAGTTTTATACCAAATTGGGACGTTTGTTACAAGCTCTATGATGTGCTCATTTAAAAAGTCTTCTTGTAGCTTTCTAGGTCTGTGAATATTTTCTGATTTTGAAAGGAAGTGTTTAACTCTTGCAGAGTAAAATTAGCTTGTTCAATGAACAGAGCTTATATAGTAGCTGAAGTCTATTTGGTCAGACACTGTGAATAGATACCGCATTCTAAGTACAGCATATAAAGTACAAGGAAAACAATGGTGTATTATTGTTGTGAAGTTGTCTGTTGGGGAGTAATCTAGCTGAACCAGAGGCAGAAATTTAATGAGAAAGGGAAGGATTTCCTAAATAAACTACCCTCCCCCCTTCTTTCCTTGTTCATCTGTATTCAGCATGTGGAGAGCTGTTGTTCTTTTATCATCATTTTCAGTCATCTTTGAGCAGCTCTTCCTAGTCACTTCCCTTGGAACTATTTGTGCTCGTCTCCCCACATGGTTGCTTTTAGTCAATATTTTTATAGTTAAGAGCAAATCATTGCATATGAACATTAAGTTAACATGATCCAAAGTCAAGGGATTTGTTTGTATCTCTTACTCAGTAACAAATACACCACTTTCTTTAGAACTGTTTACAACCTTGATTTAACGTCATAATTTCTTAAGAATATTCCTTATACCTCAAATATGTTTACAGCTAGCACTGGAGCCTATAAGAGCTGCAACTATGATTTGGAGCAATAGTTGCAGTTTTCTGCTCAAATTTATTGCGGGATGTAACTTTAACATTTGTGTTCTTCAGTGATAAACTGAATTATGAAATAAATGAGATCCTTTCCTCTAAATAGAATTTCTTGCATAAAATCTGATTAACTTGTAGTGTTGTGGTTTTTTTTACAAAGCTGTATCAAACTGCACACTTTCATTATTAGAGTACAACACATTTTGCAGCCCTTATAAACTAGTTTCCTATGTGTTAGCAACAACTTCTCTTAACAAAGGATATAGGAGAAAATAAAAAAATGCATTGAAGAGTTCTTACCCTTCTTGTGTTGTTCTCAGCTTATGCACCATCCATTCCTGACTGGGAAAGGCGCAGCTGTGTCTCATCTCCAGCCTTCCAGTTTGGTGAAAATGTCCACGGGAAAGGCCAAGACAGCCTCTCCCTTCTCTTTGAAGGAACTTTCCACTTGAAATGCCAGGAAATTCCCACTTGGAATGTGGGGAAAAGGCCCCCTCCCTTTGGAGGAAATTCCACCCTTTTGAGAAAATTCGTATTTGGATTGCTGGGAATTTCTTCTCTTTGGAGGGAATTCTCATTAGGAAATGCCATGAAATTCCTTTGTCAGGGCCGAGGAAACTTCCCCTGAACACCAGGAAAATCCACCTCCTTTTGAAGGAAATTTCCCTAGGAATTATTAGCGATTTCTCCCTTGCTGTGGATCCAATTCCCCCTTGGGACACCAGGGAAGTACCACCCCCCTCCTTTGGCAGACATTCCCATGCAGAAGGCCCCAACATCCCCACACACACAGTGGATGAAGTTCCCACTCCAGGTAATAGCTGTTTCCCCCAGGCTTGGAGGACATTTCCCCTGCAGAACACTAGGAAACACCTTCGGTTTTGGAAGAAATTGGCATCATGAATGTGAAAAAAATTCCTACACGCATTGGGGGAGAACTTCCCCTTGTAATGCCAGGAAATCTCTCCACCTGCCATGCCCGCAGTGTCCAGTGCTCGCCCGCCCCTCCCAGCCCAGCTCCGTGGTGTGATGTCTGTGCAAGGGCCACTGGAGCACGCCCAGGGCAGCGTGGGGAGCAGCTCCCCGGCTGCGCACTGCGCTCCCAGCTTGTGTCAAGGTACACCAGCAATTACCTTCACCTGGTGCACCGGGTGCCCTCTACACTCAGGAGCTTGTAAAGAACGCTCATTTCCCACATACTGTAGCACCCTGTCTGTGACCTTTGAGCCTGCAGGAAGACAGAAAATGAGATTTCCTTTGTTTCCAAAGGCTGACTAGGTGCCTAGAGCTGCACCTGCTCCCGCCCTGCTCCGCTAGGAGCGGCGGGGCTGGGTGACAGCTGCCAGTGAGGCGGTGGCGCAGGGTGAACAGGAGCAGTTTTATCGCAAGGGCAGTGCCATTGGTCCAGCATCTCAGGAGAGCAGGAAAAAAGTGGCGGAAAATGAAGAGACTTCCCAAGCCTTTTGCTTTCCTTTTACTCGATTTGGTAGCCTGGAGAGCTGGCTCTGGGCACTCTGGGTGGCTGTTGCAGAGGGCGCCACAAGAAGGAAGGGGCTGACCGGCTGGGGCAGGAGCCCAGGGCTGGGGCAAGGGGTGGCCCCAGAGGGCAGCACGAGGCACTGGCAGGGGCTGCTCACCCTGGGCACTGCCTAGCTTTTTCCCTGGGCTCAGCAGGGCCAGGGCCTGGGGGGCTGGCTTAGAGCCCACGTGAGGTCTCCCCTCGTGTAACCCACAGACCCTGATATGAAATGCCCCCCACAACCACAACGACACGACACCAGTGTACAAAAATCCTGCCTTCAATAAAGTGGAAAAGCACCCGCATCTCGCTGAGGTTGGTGGAGGTGCTGGCACGCCTACGCGGAAGCCAGCTGCTGCACACTCGCTCTGGGAAAGCCTCATTCTGCAACAGGGAAGCTGACGCCGCCTCTGCCGTGCTCACTGGTAGTAGATGCTGAAAGCGTGGAGGATGTACAGGAAGGTCGTGATGAAGGCAAAGAACTGCAGGAGAGAAAGGGCAAAAGCTGGGGTCAGCAGGGCTCCCCGCAGGGTGTAACTCCATCATCTCACAGTGCTCTCGACCTTAGGAAACCTCCAAGCCTACAGCTCTTTCCAAACTCAAAAAAGGGGACAAAGCCCCCAAATTTCCCAGAGGAGGCAGCTGTGCAAAGCTCTCCTGAGCTGCTGAACCCCCAAGAAGCCTGTGCCAGCACATGATGGAGAAAAGCAGCCGAAGCTCTAACCACCATCTGACACTGCTGGGCTGGATGGGCGTGGGTTGGAGCGCCTCTGCCACAGCCACAGTGTTTGCTCCTGCATCTCCCGGGGGGGCTGCAGGTGCTTAGGCCCACCCGGGTTCTTCGAGACTGACTCACCGATGCTGCGCAGTTGAGCTGGTAGTAGTAGAGCGGGAACCCATTTTCAAACTCAGACGCAATTGTTGCGTTGGCTTGCAAGACAGCAGCACTCATGTACAGAATGGCTGTGGCTCCGTGGTACAAACTATCCTGCAAAACAAGGGAGTGCTGGGGATCAAAAACTGCTCAGCCTTGTTTGTCTCTCTCCTGCCCCAAGGCCAGGAGATGCCACCATCCATCCTCTGTGCACAGGAGCACAAAGAGGACAGGCACACCTGGGCACTCTGCAGCACACCGAACCTCCTGGTGGCACCTGAGGGATCCCATTTCCCAGGGGGAAGCGCAGGGCCCAGCCCCAGGCCCGTGTTCATGGGGATGAAGGTGGGAACGGCTTCTATCACATCCTGATCCCTTCCCTTTCACCCTGCCATTGAAAAGGGGCCACACATAGCAATGGCACAGCAAAACCTCCTCCAGGCGTTTCCAGTAAAGGCCTGGCCGTGTCCCCAGGGAGGAAAGGAGGAAAAGGACATTTGCTTGCAATGGGCTGGTACCAGCTGCTGCTGCCCACACCACCTGCCCCTTTCTGAGCCCATCCTTACCAGCACTTTCCAGTTGTTGCTGTTTCTGTGAAAGCCGAAGATGTAACTGAGGAGGAGCAGCAGGGAGATGAGGCACGATGTGATGGACACGTACATCACCCATCCCTGCTGCAGTGGGAGAGAGACCGAGGTAGCAGCAACAAGGATCCAGACCCAGGTCCCGCAGAGCTGCCAGGGACAAGCAAAGGCACCTTCCGTGAGCATGCGATGGGAAAAGTCCCTTCTCCTCCCTGCATCCCGCCTCGCCTCCCTCCTTCCCTCCCAGGCTGGCCCCAGGAAGCCCTTCATCTGTGGGCAGTGCGGCTGCTACGCAGGGCATCCTTGGGCTGGCAGCAGCACCGCCAGCTGGCACAAGTTTTTCCTGAATACTCTTGGGAAATGCCTCAAAACTTTTATTGCAGAACGGAAAGAACTGCTGCTGCGTTCAACACAAGGAAAAACCGCACCCCAAGGGCTTTGGCAAAGACGCCAGAAAGTGTGCGTTTATCTCGGAAACGTGAACCAGCAATGTCAGCCCAGCCCTGCCCGCACATTAATAACCTGCCTGAAATCACAGCACGAGGAAGTCATCTCCCAGCTTCACGTACCAGCCCAGAGTGAGTCGCTTGCTCTGGATCCACCTCAAGGATTTACTATGCAGAAACAGCTTACAGGGCTATCTGCCTCTACTCCCCCTGCCCTATGCCACGCCAGCTCTGGTGGATAAAACTCCTGCTTTGCACTGACTGTGCCCACGAGGTGTGGGTGGTGTGTGCTGCCCGCACCGGGGCCGCGGCTACCAGCTACTGTGCCGCATGTCAAAGTACAGGAGCAGCTATTGCAGCCACTCGCACCGCCTGCCCTCTGGACTCAGACGCAGTGCAAAAATGTATGGCATTTTACAGTTTCTGGGCAGGTCGGCTTCTTGTAAAATCTAAATACAATCAGCAAAACTCCCTTCATTTTAAGCAATTTCCAATTTCTCTTTGCTAAGTAGAGCTGCTTCCATTCCCAGGGCAGGCTCTTCAGCCCTGCCTAGCCCTATGGCAGCTGGCAGCCCCCTGCACGGGCTCCATGTGGTGCTTATCTGGTCCTCAAGCTGTCTCGAGAACAATTTAACCACAAAGACCAGCTCTGCGTGGCCAGTATAAGCTACTAGAAATTAAGTTATTTCTCATTAAGGCTCTTTTCAGGATCCTCCTGAGGGCTCCCCCCAGATTTCTAAGCCCAGGACTCCCCGGAGCTGGGTGTGACAGCGCGGCAAGGCTCAGCGTACTCACTATCTCCGGTAGCATGAAGGCATAGGGAACGGTTTTGAAGATGGCTGGTCCAGAGGGCACGGTGGGCTGCGTGGTGGCCGTGGGGGGACACGCCGATGCCATTGCTCCTCAGCTGAGGCCACTCCACTCGGCTCGCATGTGTCTGCGCCGCGCCGCTCCCCGGCGGGGTTTTAACCGGCACACCCGCGGGGACGTAATCGCAGAGACCAGCCCAGGCTGGCACCACACTGCTTCCTCCAGCTGAAGGAGTCCTCAGCAACCCCCCGGTTCTCTTGTAACACACCCTGCTGCCAACTCAGCCACAGGATGGGCTCACAGCCTGGCCAGCACCACCACCGGCAGTAGCACACTGTTAGTTCATCGTCTTTAATGGGAGAAGAAAAAAATCCCACACCACACCAGTGCAGAAGTTTCCTGCAATCCAATTTTGTCCTTGGCACTCGTTCAAGTGTGAAATATTTTTGTTTCCGCTCTTGCCTCCTCCCCTTTTTGCTCGGGTTTCTGCTACTTGTTCACGTAAGAATCCCCCACACCCATGGGATGCGTCTAGCCCTCGAACACTTACAGCCCACCACAGCCTTGGCAAACATTTCTTACAGACAACTCAATGCACCAGCAAAAGATGGAAGTTTGTCCATCTGCTCTTAAGTGTCCAGAAAGGTCAGAAGGACAGCAACCAGGCCAGCTTTAATTTCCACCTCCTGGCAGATGTGCTTTGGATTCAATGAACACACTATTCTTTCTGCCTCACCCACTCAAGAAGTCTAGGAAATAACTGGAGGAATAAAAAGCTGAAAGTGGTGTCTCTGCCTCCTGTGCTAGAGTGGACAGAAAGACCCCGCTAACTCAGGCAACTGCAGCACGAGGAGGGAGATCCCAGTAAGATAGCACACGTCTGTTAGAACAGCCAAGTTATGCCCTAGGAATTTGGCCTCTCTGCCAGGCTCCTGAACAAGACAGAAGAAAAACAAACCCAGGATGTTTCTCATGGGCTCACATCGTAGGCCAGGGGGTTGCTCTTCGCAGGATTTCTGAAGGCTCCAGTTTACAAAAGCTGCCAGTGAGGGCTGGCCTCGGGCTCCACACAGCATGCTGAAATCTTTGAAGGGCCTTGTTTTAAAGCACTTCACACCACACAAAACTAGTGACTGCTCTGGATTTAAACTCACTTTGACTTGTTGCTGCCCACCTCACATCAGGCACCGTGGCAACGCACCCATCACCACAGACAAAGCAGCCAGACAGCCAGGCTCTCCAGCACAAAGAGAAATCAGATTAAGGACTCTGTGCCAGGAGTGAGCAGCACTCAGTAAGGCCCCTGGTTACAAACTGCTCAGGAAAAAGAAACCTTGAACATCCTGATGAGACATACCCTGCAGCTCACCAGCCTGCACACAGTGAGCTAACCTATGCTATAGTCATGCATATAGGAAACGCAGCATTCCCTGAATTCTCACCACCTTTTATTTGTACTAGGTGGGGTCAAGCACATTCCTGTGAATAACCCAACCTTTTCCTGAGTGAGAACGGAAAACAGTAAAACGTGCTAAATAAAGAGCGACCCGCAGCCCCGCTGATTGGACAAGAGGTGACTTTTTTCCTGACCTTGTTCAGCAGCATTCTTAAGGCTCATTGCTGTTTTCCTTGCCTGTACCAGTCCACTTGGGTGCTCTAACAGGGTCTTTTGTTCATCCTGATCAAAACAACACTGGAAATTATTGGCAGCTACAGGAGAGGAGTAACGTGCTGCCTCAGCATTTGCTAGGCGTCAGCACAAAGCAACCGTGGCTACCACAGGTACACGTACCGACAGACAACCATAGCCTTGTCTGAGATGGCAAAGGGGAAAATATAAAATACAATTTTCATCAGTTGAAACAACAAAATAATACCAGACTGTCTCAAAATGTTACTGTTAAATGCGCTAAAATCTCTCTTAAAACCCAGATAGTACACAATTTTCCTTTGGTATGAATTCATCTATATTGTTACCCCCATAATCCATTCATGCTACAGGATTTACAGGTTTTTCCTCGTTTCTCCTAAGAAATCATAGGCCAGCTCTGAGATATCAAAGGCTTTGTGGGTATTTTCGGATGACAGCAGGGACTGGAGTGCACCATCGTTCTCTCGGCTCTTTCTCAAGAAGTCAGCGATCACCCTCCAGCGAGAGGCTTCAGATTCCTCCTCGGCCCACTTGTAGCTGGGGAGGAAAGTGGACTGGAGGAGAGGGAAGACAGAGTCGTGGTACACTAGGACAAACAGAGACTTCAGAAATTCTCGATCTCTCTGTGAAAAAGAAAATATTTGAAAGCATTTCCATGAAAATGTGCAGCAGTATCAAGCACTTCTGAAGGAGTATTCTACAAAGGAAGAACAAACCCAAACCACTCAACTTTGCGGGTTAACAACAGGAGGAGATCTGACCTTAAACATGGACCTCAAACTCAGCACCAGAACTACACTGCATAAACCACAGATCAGCAGATCTGCTCTCCTACCCACCTACTCTTCCCAGCAACAAAAAGCAGTGATATGCAGCCAAACCTGCAGATGCTGCCACATCTGCAGCAGAGGACACTTGTGATGCTTATCCTGCCAGTCACAACAGCTTTCACACCTACCCCTGAGGTTTCTCTGCTTTTCTGCAGAGAAAGTCTGAATGAGCCACCCAAACGCATCATGAGCTTCACAGGGCACAAGATTCCCATCGCCATCCTCCTGCCTGATTTTCAGATCAAATCTCTCACTGCAATCTGCTTGCAGCAGCATTACTCTCTAGTCTGATACATTAAAAAATATATCTTGAAGATAAATTTCTTTTCAATTTACTACAACCCTCCTCCCCCTCCGCCCTGGTGACCTATGCTGAAGCAGCCTGAACTATCAAATTTGCTATTGGCCCTACCTGTGCCCTTGTAAAAGATGGTTAATTTAGGTTGGGTGAATAGAGGAAACAGCACACCAGAAAATCTAAATAAAAAGAGTTAACACCACTCTTTTATTAATATCTAAGCATTTAATATTTTAATATTAATTCAACTGGTCCTATGCTCTCCTATCTATGCTTCTCACAGCACGCAGGAGGCACGGCCATTCTGCAGGTGCTGTTATTTCACATTTTGAGAGAACATTCTCTGTGTGGAGAGAATGATACTTTGACATGTAAAGGCCTGTTTGCAAAACCTAGGGTCTAAGAATCAGCCTGGTCAATTAGCAAGTACTGAAAGATCCTGCCCACTTCAAACAGGCAAGATTTGTATGCCCCATTTTCCAAACACACCAGAAGACACCCTTCTGTGCAAGAAAGACAAACACAGCACAGCCTCCTGGAAAACTCACTGACCACTGAAGCTCTGCCAGGAATGCCAGCAATATGACTGGCATCGGCACCTCTTTGCTACCCCTGGGAAGATGAACAATTCACATCTCAGCAAAGGATTTAGCAGCTGAGTGTCATAAAAGCATGCAAGAAGGAGCAAGAATTAGCTGTCATGCCAGGCAGCAATCCTGCCATGGGAGTGGCACATGACAAATCAGGTAAAACTGGATGGTTCTGGGACACTGAGGAGTTATTAATTCTCTGAGCAGATCAGCTTACATTTTGGATGAATAGTCCTGAAAAAGCTGCTCTGATTCAATGGTGGTTTGTTTTGTTTGCATGAATGGAGAGATCTCTTTGCGTATCTATCTGTTCAGTAGCACACGCGACGAATGAAATAACCTTATGTTGCTCCCAAGAAGCAAAGTGCCTGGGATCGACACCTTGCTTGTTCAGTTATCTATAGCTTCTCTCTGTAGGGAGGACAGGAGATGGCAGAAGACACAGCTAAGCCTGGTAACATGGCCTGTTGAGTTCGTCTGCAGCTGTCTACATGCCAAAATGGGAGACTACTGACATCAGGAAACTGCGGAATTTGGAAAAGGACCGGACGCAAATCAGAGGTTGGAGGAGGAAAGACTGTTTTGCAGAAAAACGCAGCCCTTTTTGTACCAGTGGCAAGTTTTCACCAGCCCAGTGTTGCAAGCACATCATGAGAGAGAGCCACATTGGGATATGAACCTACCACAACATCCGTATTATAATCCGGATTAACAACCATATAGAGACACTGAGAATAAAAGTTGCAAGTTAATTTCATAGTCCTCCTAGTTTGCTGTTGTAAATATAGTAAGAATTGTTTATTTAGCGTATCTACATTTTCTAAATCTATGGTGAGAGGAAAAGTTAACTAGCAGTAACGCTGAAATAAAACTTCTAGCTTGAGTTAGATCCAAGACAAAGCAGTAACTTGTTACCTTTTCTGATCTCTTCAGATTTCTTTCTCTATCTGCCCAAGCGCTCTGAAACAAAATAAAAAATATACAATATATAAAATCTGACTGAGATTGCAGAGATCTAGAGAGGTTCCATTGTTACCTGCAGAAATCTCTTACTGCATCTCCAGAGGAGTTTAAGCCCCTCTGGCAGTCCTGCTTTCCTTATATTCCCCATTCCTCCCTGGTGCTAGTTGAGTTAATTTAAGCAAACAGCCATTCCACTAAATTTTACAAATGCAAGGACTTATTGATTTTCAATTATCAGAGCCATTTAAACAAAGACAAGGGATCTACTTTACAGAAAAATCAATCACAGCCAAAGTTGATTCCTTCCACTCTACAAGCATGGGAAAATACAGCACAACCCCAAAGGCTGAGAAGTTTCAACAGCAGTATCCTTTGGGCAGAAATAAATCAGATGCTGTTGTCTGCCTGAAAGGGATTGCCAGGTACCTAAGTGAGCACAGTTCTGCAGCTGCTGGTCGGACCCAAGTCAGCTCCTACCTGTCAGGAAAGCAGCACTGCCCTAGGAGCAGACAAACATTCAGGCACCTAGTCCACGGGCTCCCTTTTGAATGTGCTCAAGCAGTTTCTTGAAATTTGGAGGGGCTAAGGCACAAGAGATCTTTGTGTACTTGAAATTAGTATAGCTTTTCTGCTGTTTGGCTTTTCCATTTATCTTTTCATGGGATAAATAAAAAAGCTCAAATTTTGCAAACTACCTGGAAATGCAGATACGTGGGCTGTAATTGTAGGTAACATACCCGCAGTGCGTCCATCAGGTCTGGCTGATCCATGAGCTGAGGGAATGTTGCTAAAATAGGATTACAGATTAAATCTGGAACAGAGAACAAACACATTTAAGGCTAAGGAAGAAACAGGATGGTTCCAAGGCAGAAGACCATCTCTGCCTAGAAACAATCCCCTCCCTGAATATTTCAAAGGGAAAATTAGCTGTCAGTGCCCCAGCGCAGCAGAGGAGGTAGATGAGCTCTCTAGCAACCTCATTCTCTGACAAGAGTTTTCTACAGCAAACTCTGAACAGCTGAAACACAGTTAACCAGAGAGAGGAGAGATGCACCAAAAAAACAAGTGCTGGTTTATTAGGAGAAGCCAGCAAGGAAGAACCCTTACTGATTTAACCCAAGGAGAGATTAAGGTTTCCTCGTTGCTGCACCTGTCTTTTTTATAAACATCTGAAATTGCGGTGCCTGGTTTGGATGTTATGAATAAACACATGTTCATTCTACCTTAATCTGGCTTGTGTTGTGTGTGATCCTGAGATAAGTGGATAATAATCACTTTTTCAGAACAGGGCAGGCATTTTAAGTTGCCTATTTTTAAAGCGTTTTAAAAGTTTTTAAATAGGAGCAGCAATTTTCATTTGTTACATCACAGAAAATTGCTACCATAACAGTCTTTGAAATGTAAAGCCTTTAGAACATTTCATACCAAGACAACCCAAACGGAAGCAATTTATTTCCAAGGGAGGTCACAAGCCTGATTTAGTGTCCTATGTTATAAATATCAAATAACTATAGAGGATCTCAACTGACCTTGAAACACCATCATTTTCTGTTTCTCTGTGATGAGTTTAATAAATACGGCATAAATTCATTAAAAGGTCTGACTAAGATATTGAATATTCAGGGTGTATATTAAAGTTCAGGAAAAACAGGAAGAGAGTTAAGTTCTGAGCATCTTTGAAAGATGAACCTTTACTTCACAGAATCACAGAATTTCTAGGTTGGAAGAGACCTCAAGATCATCGAGTCCAACCTCTGACCTAACACTAACAAGTCCTCCACTAAACCATATCCCTAAGCTCTACATCTAAACGTCTTTTAAAGACCTCCAGGGATGGTGACTCAACCACTTCCCTGGGCAGCCCGTTCCAATGCCTAACAACCCTTTTGGTAAAGAAGTTCTTCCTAACATCCAACCTAAAACTTTGGCTGCCTCAGTATGGTATTGTACTGATTGTAGGTTAAAAAGCTTAGCAAGCACACATGCATAATTCAGTCTGGAGAAGAGACAGAGAAAGCACAAAAAAAAATTATTTTGCAGTATAAATATAAATTCATCTGTAGTACAGCTAAGAAATGTAATTTCCCTGTATTTCAAGTGTGATTTTAAAGTAAAGACTATAAACCATTACAATTCTGCTGAAGGAAAAATATGAAAGGAATGACAGACTTCCAAAATAAGAGCAAGATAAAGTTCTAAAAGCAGAGCTCTTACACTTCTCTCTTCCTACTGCATCAGCCAACAAGTAAATTAATAAATAAAAAGAATAAAAGAGGATGACTTCACCTCAGTGACAGAAACATCTGCCTAATCCTTCCTATAACACACAAGAGCAAACATTCACTAGAAACAAGTGAGTAAACCTGCGAGCATGTCTAATCTCTCATTGCATAGGTGATGAGAAGGAAACATTTCTCTTCTAAACAATCCCTTTACCTTTTCTTTATTTATTAAGACAAAAATAAATTGTCTTTGCCTGTCCACTTGGGCTTTTTGTGGGGAACGAGCATTTCACTGAAGACACTTCATTTATACCTGACAGAAAATAAAACTATTCTTGTGGTTTCTGCAGCCTGCTGTGTGAACTGATGCCAAGTAAGGCAACGCATGAGGTGTGAGTTGAAATATTACTAGTTTGAAAGGCAAACACACCGAGTGGGGCATTTACAGCAAGAGACTGTTTTCTTTTACTAACAGGGACAACAGCTTTCAATTTGCTCCCACAGCACCTGCAGACTGAGAGCTTAAAACGCTGAAATCCTCTACAGAGGGAGCGTGACTTCCCAACCGTGCAGGACAGGGTGGTCAACCCCAGCACTAGCAGGTAACAACACCTGAAGAGTACCCCATATCAGCGAGAGTTGCTCCTGCAGACCCCTGCTTAATCCTACAAAAGGAAGATTCTGGAAAGAGCAATTCTCTTTGAGAGACCGATCTTACTACTGAGCTCATCCCTACAACACCAGCAATTCTTACCTGCACTCTGCATGTTTATTCTGTCTTTCAGGAGTGCATCACCAAGTATTTGTCGATAAAATATCAAGAGATGGATGTAGCACATACTGCCAATTAATGTTTCTGGTAGCAAACTATTGGGAAAAATAAAAACAATGCAGCTGAGATTTTTATTCAAAACTGCTCCAGTAAAGCACTGTTCTCCAAAACTTGAGAATGATGACAGGTTTGTGGGGACACCTGTATTAGCTCATACTGGTGTCTCCACGAATCTATTAACTTTTGAGGGCACACATTGATGCAGCTATAACAGCCAGATTCCTGCTGTTGCAATTTTTAATTTTATCTAGTTTAAAGCTTTTTGCTTGTTTTCAACAGAATAGTTCTAAGCCTCAAACAGAGATCAAATGTAATATGCAGCTGACACAACCCTCACATTTTCTATAGCTGGTATTCCAGGGAAGGGGAACACTTCAGATCTCTGGGACCATTCTAGGCTGAATCGTGTTTTGATTTTACAGCAGCACATAAATATACTTACTTCAGGATGTCTTTTGACTGTGTGCTTAATGACCTCAGTTTTACTAGAAGCACAGGCTGCTTCTTGAGTGTTATAAGCTGTTGAAGAACACCACTGCCTGCTTAAGAAATAAACACCCAGGATGAAATTAGTCATTTTGAAAGAACGTTAATAATTGTATTACAGGAACGAACATTTAAATACGGTAAAATATGTTTTTTTTTTTCTGAAACTGTAATGGTTTAAGGATTGTCTAAAAACTCAAGAGGAATTGAATGCCTGATTTTTTTTCTTTATTTTCCACCTATATCAACATTTGATCTAACTGAAGCTACCTGGGACTAAGGAGTCCCACTTGCTCTCCACTTCCTTGGTCAAACTCCTCTCTATAACTGTCACCTCTTCAGGCAAGCTGGTTCTGTTTTTGGTGAGCTCTTTCCATCTGGCTCAATTCCCTGCTGTAGTTCAGAGCATCACCTGTAATCCCTGCCCCCTGCCATGCCAGGTGCTGTGGGACAGGGACAGAAACATCTTGCCCTTGCTATGGAACTCTAGACCAATGTTACTGCTGAATCTTGTAGCATCACTCCACAGACCAGAAGTGTTCAGTGCAATTAAAGAAACACCCGAATACATTTATCAGAAATAATCCTCAACTTGCAAACACCGTAAATTACAGAAACATTAACACCAAGAGACAGTTCTAAATCCAAGCAGCCCTAAAAATCAACTCTCTCTCATGCAAATCAAGAGCACCAAACAACACCAGGCTGTGCTGACTGCATGCTAATAAGAGCCCTGTCTGAGCTCTGCATTTTGTGAATTAGGTATCACACGCATCATTTTATTTATGCAATGTTTAGGAAAAAACAAACCTCTTCTTGATATTGAAGGGTCTACCTCAACACCTCTCTCATAGGGAGTACCACCATTTAATGGCAGCTCATACATCCTGTGAGGAAAGAGCAGCATGGTTAGAATAAAACAACACAAGGATACACGAGAACAACACGACTGCTCTCTGAGAAAGTGAGAAACCTGCTATCTCAAATAAAAACCTGACACAGTGCTTGAGGCTTTGGCTAGTATTTTATGTGAAATGACTATACCTAAATACTAAGTAGCCAAACCTCTAATGATAAATGGGAAGCTTGTATTATGTTGGGGAAACTGGACAATTATTTGAAAAGAAATTAGCAACGATTCCTTTCCACATGATTCCAACATTTTTCTTGTATGAAATTTAGCAGCTGCTTCACTGAACTGTTTTTGAGGAATCATGGCTAAAGTACCATTAACATTTTCAATGCTGAAGAATAATGTAAGCCCAGTTCTGTCAAAAGGAAGTCACTGTTGAAGTAAGCATGCAGTTTCACTCTCTAGAGTAGAATTAAAAATGATATTATCACCTTCAATTTTTTAAACATTTTTATTTCATATAATACAGGTGTTTTCAGATAAAAGGGGAGCTATTTAGACATTTCTATAGTTTTTAGAGTCCACTGAAGAGTATTTTTAAACACAGGCTAACTTGCAACATTTCAAACCCAAATGTTGAGTCCAGGGAGCACATTTTAGAGTAGAGAGTGTGTAGAGAGCACACATTGGGTGTGGAAGTGGGATCAACATTCGCACTGGAAGACCCAGTACAACCTGCATATTAGACTGGATTACACCTGTCCATATCAATACGTGCCCATACTAAACACAAACTTTACTCATAGCTTAAAATGTATCTATATACATACATAAATACTGTGTGTGTGTGGGGAACAAACACATAATAAACTTACTTGGAAGGAACAGGCATTCCATCAGAAGTAAAAAGCTTCTGAAATGCCCAGCCACAGCTTAGCTCTCCTCGTTCACCTGTTGACTAGAAAATAAAAGAGGAAGGTAAACCCGAGCAGCTAAACCACAATGAGTAACTGATCACAAATACTTAGAACAATCCCACAAAAATAATAAAAGCCCCAAATTCATGGTAAGCAAACACTGACTATACCACATTTAAGATAAACATACGTATATCAAACATTAGAAGGCTTTATTCCCAGGCACTGGGAAATGGAGCTGACCCTGTGTGCCAACCCATCCATTTCCAGACATGCCCCAGGTCTGCTGCATGATCCCAAGGATACCACTTCATCTTCCAGGATCTCAGCTTGAACAAAGTGAGGGCAGCGACAGTTACTTTCTTTCTAAGTGATCTGATGGATGAAGCAGGAATAAAACCCAAACCCATAAACAACAGGTAGGAACTTGCACATACTCCAGCCTTCATGCAGCCTTAATCTCTAAACAGAAGCTGACAACCTGACGTCCTGACTACTCGAATTAGCGTGTGGAGGGCCATTACATCTGATTAGGTCTCTGTGAAGCGTCACTCACCAGCACGTAGTTCATTGCCAGGACTTGCACAGTCCAGTTCCCTACAGATTCAAACTCTACTTATCCCCTTTTGCAACAATTCTGCATTCCTACTATGCTATCAGCATGTCTTCCTCCCCTCCACATTGCCACAGGGAGGCTTCTGCCCCAGGTTCCTACAGTTATTAATGAAAGAAAATACAGCAAGACCCTTCGGTAAGTTCTCTTAACTTTTCAGAATTCTGTTTTTCAGAATTTTCCCAAGTTCTTCCCACCATTTAATACCCTGTTTGCTAACAAATGTCATTACCCCATTTTCCATCTTTCTCTTGATTTACTTGACTGCCAAACCTTATCTGAGCAAGATGGTGACAGTAATGAAAAAGGCAGCAAGACTTCAATCAATCCTGTATGCAAAACAGCTAAGGTCTTTCAGAACAAGAGCTCTTCCAAAAAGCCACCATTTCCTCCAAATAATAGTGTTTCTTGTCCCTCTTTTTATTAACATAGTTCTTACAGGGAAAAGTGCTTTACCATCTATTGTATCACCAACCATTGTACTTTAAGAAGCATATCCTGGTTGGATAGAAAGATGTATCTCTATCAACAGTGTGCAAAATATTTAAACAGTTAACTGTTTAAATATGTCCAAACTACATAGCACAGTAGTGTGAAATGAATCACAGCAGATATAGAGAAAAAACAAACAAACAAAACATAAGTGTGAACAGAGAATTGGGATCTTCTAATCACATTACATGAAATCTTCAGCAGACTAGCAGAAATTATTTCAGTGTAGGAAAAACTACATTTATATGCACCAGTCAGGAAGACTTTTGTTCATTAAATATTGACTGGAACTAAAAGTTGCCCAAACCAACATCTCTCTCTTCACTCCCAGATGCCAAAATGAAGACAATCATGGAATAAGCTAAAAAAACAAACAAACAAACAAAAAAAAACCTGCTAAATTTCCACTTGGATCTCAAAATTCACAGCTGAGATACTGCATCTTACAACTGAACACTGGACAGCTGATTCACTTTAGAAATGTGCTGGGAATGATTTACTCTGTAACTGTATACACTTACATTGCGAATATAAGTGATGCCAAGTTCAAATAAGAAACCAATGTCTGAAGATGGAGAATTAGACCTGACGAAACAGTCACCATCCAGCAAGCTGGGTAAAATGCCTGTTACCTAATACAGAGGGGGGGAAAAAAACAATGAATGTACATAATAAAACAAAAACCCTCTGATTTCTAAATGCAATTGAACACATTTAGATAAGAACTCAGACATGATCCCACTACACATAAGAGAAAATGAGAAGTAGAGAACCAGTTCCATTTGAAACCATTGTTCTGTTTATTCCTTGTCTTGTCACAAACCACACCTATGTTACCAAGGTACATTTTCTGTGATGACAAGATATTAGAGAACTTTAGAAGTCAAAAGCAATTAATTCTCTGTGAAAACACAGCAACAACTTGGGTAAAACATGGTAACAGTAGTGCTGTGAACATGGTTCTGCACAATACCTGAAACATGGGACAAGGCATGTGCTCTTTTTTATTTTCTGCCTGTTTATTTTGGTTGCAACACATATTGTTTCAACAAGAATATCAGAAGTAACAGATGGTTAAATAAGAAGCTGTAAATAGACACCATAAATAGTTAGTGGCTATATTACTTCCGGAGTGAGATACCTACCCTTGGAGAAAAGGTCCACATTTGGGGATTTTTAGGTTGCCATGTGGCTCTCACTGTATGAATGTTACTCAGTACCTAAAACATGACAGTGGGTAAAAATGCTGACAAGTTTTAGTGCATATCTACACAGCTTTAAGAAACTGTAGTATTATCTAAGATTAATCCAACAGTCCATATGCAGCACAGATAAAAGCACACTTATTTTTCAAATTTATCACAGTTTCAGTTTAAAAGAGTACAGCAGAAGGCGGAATCAGCAGCAGCACTTTCCAACCATTCCTGCTTCCTATGTACCAGTATCAGTCCCTTTGCCTCCAAGAGCATTCGGCAGAAGGAAAACTACCAGACAGTCAGCATTAGATTGTTTATAAAAAACTGCTCTACACTCACACAAAGGCACAGAGGAACAATGGCAAGTGAGGAAATCCACATGTGACCCTGACCCAGCTACTCCCAGGCCCATCACAGAGTAGAAGTGAGCCCAGACAAGGCTCACCTCCACAAACGTGAAGGGCAAAGAGACACAATGGCAGGTGGGGGAACCGAAATTATGGATGCAGAGAAACGGAGCCCCAGACAGCCCTGGGAGGGGCTGGGGCGGGGAGCTGGGTGTGATGCTCCTGAAGATGAGTCACCAGGAACGGTGCTGGATTGCCTGACAGACCGAGAAGGGTTGCTGCTTATGGCTGAGACTGCAGCACACAGGCAAGAACGTTTGGGGACTGCACATGACTTACTAGGGGATGCTCAGGGGAGGAACCAAAGGCAGAAAGAGGGAGAGATCAGGGTGGTTTGTGGAGCATGAAGGGTGGGAAAATAGAGGGATAAGGGGATAAAAGGGTGTGTTTGTGAGCTGGCTGGTATGCGTGTCTGGCCATGCCCTGCACTTGATCGGTGCAGTTTGTCCTGTCTTCTCGTCAAACTCCGTTTCTAACTCTTTTCTGCATGAACGGGCTTTCTATTCTGCATGCATGTGTATGGAGGTCTAAGTGCCAGCAAACAGAGGCAGGCCACGTGCTGCAGGGAGCTTATGTCTGTGGTGACTGCTGCTGGTGAGGGGGAGAGTATGTACTTCAGTGTGCGACTGCACGATCAAGCCAGACTAACTGGCGAGTCAGTTAAGTGCCTTGGTATGTCTCCGAGACAACTGGAGGAGTTGGCTGCTGGCGGGAACGGAGCATCATGTACACCTTATCGAGACCTTTTTTGGTCATCAAACAGCCACTCACCCGATTGCCATCAAATAGACAGAGTCGGACATGTCTACTGAGAACCTGTATGCTGCCTGCTGGGAGAGGAATCATTTTGCAGCTACATAAAGTCACAATCAGGGATACTCGAGTTGGTCTAGGCTGGATCTGAAACACAGAAAACAGATGAAGGATTAAATCTAGAGGTTCCTCCTGCATGTGGTTATCATTTTTTGTTTATTTACTGAGAAGACTGTAGTGCTTGCTGGACTGGATTCTTTGACCCACAAAGCTCATGCAGTATTAGCAGCAGCGGGAACATTCCTTCATAAACCTTTACACCTCTCCTAAGGAGAGTGATACAAATAATTCAGTGACAGGTGAAATGTCCTATCAGAAAGGAATGCTGTCATGAAGTTCTTCCCCAGGTATTTCAAGTCTTGGTGGCAATCACATTTTTGAGCTGCTTTTCCAACAGTAATTTATAAATAGGTGTTCTAAAAATTGTGTAAATCAAGACATAATCATTAAACAAAATGAAAGAAGAAAAATGTAACCGGAGGTTTCACTGTGACTAGTAGAAGTTCATGGTTTAAGAATTCAGACTACTGCCTCACGCAGATTTGTTTTATCCCAAACAAGGAAGGAACCACAAGCTTAAGATGAAACATGACTCAAGAAATACCCAACATAGCACCTTGTATTGATGGTTGGGTTTTTTGTTTGTTTTTATTTGCCTTTTTTTTTGCTTATCAGAGAGCAGGTTGTAGTAACATCTAACTTCCTAAGGAGTCTAGATTGACATTGAAGAAATCTATCATCTATTTCACAGCAACATTTTCCCACCAATATGAAACATTTTTAAAGGTTGCCAGTGATTCACATCTACAGATGCTGTCATTTCTCTTGAACCAAAAGCTTCATAGCTTTCTCCCTAGTAATACTTACAGTATTTTTTTCAGAGTCCCACACCAAGTCTTTGAAAGCCAGCTGGGATGGAGTAAGTTCAGGCTGTAAGAAGTAACTTGCTCTAAATTGATTACCTACAATACATTAAATTTAAAAACAAAGAGAAATCTTAAAGGTTTTTTTTTAGATCTTTATTGCCACAAAATGAAAGATACACAAAACTCTAAGGTTCATTTGAATATTTAACTGGTCCTAACAAAACTCTGGAGGTATCTACTACAAGTACCCTCTAAAATGGGCAAAACTATTTGCAAAAGTGTTCTGTAGTATTTCAGCACCGCAATTTAATTAACAAAAAGAGCTACTGACTGGAGACAGTTTGAAATGAAAAGATGAAGAAAATATGAGATGTGTAGTATCATTGGAATTCTCTTCACAGATAATCTCTGAGAAAAAGGGAGGAAGTCTGTAAAAGAAAAAATCTGTATCTGTCACTGGGAATAGTCTTCCAAACAGGAAAAACGTTGAGATCATCAGGAAATTTGTCATTGCCTTCATGGGACCATGATTTCACTCAGATAAATTAAAACTTATTTGATGAAGGAAAAAGAAAAGAAAAAAAAACACAACAACAACAAAAAACTTTTTCTACATTATCTGACTGGTCAAATATATACTCTGTACAGATTATGTATACCTTGTACCAATTATCATAAAGCAATACTGATTTTAGTCCAACAGGCTAGTTTCTGGGATAAGAAACTCTCCAAGGACACTTGCAAATTCTGCCCTGCAATCACTATGAGAAAACCTTACCTTCTTCTAAGAGCTGGAAAAGTGTGGAGAGACGGAAACCTGCAGGAACTGCTCCCATAGTTGCCAATACCTCTACTGTATCATTCTGTTAATAAACAAAATTGGATATTAACATTCCTACTATTTAACAGCTAATTCAGCTAATTTACAGCTCTCACACAAACAATATCAGGACCCGAGGCATCCATCACCTCTACTAATCTGAAGTTAGCTTGGCACGACACCAGGAATGACTTTGACTTTGTTTTGTGTATGACCCCAGACAGATCACTTTTGTTTAATCCCCCCTTCCATTTCAGCACAGCAGCAGAGTAGCCAGTTAACAAAGAAAATCACACCCTTGAAAAAGAAATGTAGCACCACAACTATGGCAAAACAACAAAAGCCACCTCAGCTGCATCTTCATTCAGACACACAGACTGGGCTGCAGCCTATTTCTAAAGCAGTAGGGAACCTTACAATTTTTTGCTATCAAAAACAAACTAGAGATCTTAATTAAAAACATTGGTCTGTACTATGATACATTTTGCTTAGTAAAAGACAAATCTTGTCTACAAATTAATTAACGTTATGGTAGATGAAATTGCTATCTAAGAGATACACCTACCTCTGTGATAGCTTTTCTCACAGCACTCCAGTGAGAATCTGTTCTGGAAGAAAAATAATGTTCTTCTTTTATAATATTCTTGTGTGGACAAAAGTTTAAATATTGAATACAGATTTGCCTTCAAATACCAGTAGCTTAATCAGTACATCTGAGATAATAATAACAATAGGCTTTCAGCTACTAATGTGTCTCATAAGCTGAAATATGACTCAATGCATGACCTAGTCATATTTTGATTTTGAGGAAAATAAATAAATACATAGATACATAAACAATCCCAAAGCAAAAGTCAAAAACAAACCTACTAAAGTAAAAGTGTGATGAAAAATTAAAATTTGTAGAATCTACAGAAAAAAAAAATAAAGCAAGTGGTTGCTGCACTGAAAAGAAAGAAGCAGTTACAAAGAACCAAATACATCTGTCAGGTGTGTTTTCTGCAGGAGATGTATTGACATATCTAAGGAAGAGCAGGATGAACAATTTTACACTTACTTGCTTTTGCATATTCCACTTACCTTTTTTTAATTTCAGTTCCATCTGCTGTTTCATCCACCACTTCTATGTGTTCATCACTTTCCTCTTGGCTTTCTTCATCTTCATTATGGACCTGTAATTCAGATTCAGAAAGGGCAAGGGCTCATTTTCTTCACAGTTCTGTTCTTAAAAATGTTTTCTCCAACTACAGTACGTGTACATAGTTTAGAAGAGAAGATTTTCTGTCTGTCATGACCTATCACTCTAGAGCATTGTAACTGCACATCACTGCTCTCAGTTCTACAGCCACAGCAGGAGATTGGAGCATACCTACAGGAGAACACTAAGCAAGAGAATGCTTATGCAAAGCAGATTCTTTAGAAAGAGAAACACATTGGCATCGTGAAGAAAAAAGTTCTCTACCCAACATACTCTCTGTTCTGAAAAGCCCTGTTCCACAGTGGCAAGCTCAGACCAACAGGACTCAATTGAGCCAAACTATGTACCCACATTTAAAGGTTAATTAATTAATGTCAAATTATAAAATACTCCAACTGGCATTTCATATGAATCGTGAAAAGCATGCGTGGCTCTGTAGCAGCTTGGAACCTTCAGAGCTGACAGTTAGCAGCAAAAGTCTATAACTTCCATATTCAGGAAACCTCTCTGCAAAAATCACTTATGTCACATCTCCATATGGCATCAAAACACTGCTTGTGATAGCTATCTGCATACACATGCATACAAACATGGCGTTATTTGCAAACAACTGGCTAAAAGCTGCTGTGTGTGCCCATCTAAGCGTTACGCTAAGCTTCATGCAGCTACATTATCATTAACATACATACAATAACAGAGGTGAGACTTGAATGGAAGAAGTTTGCAGCACACTAACCGCAAGATAGGTTTTAGGCACAAGGCCTCTCTCCCCTTTTGAGTTTTCAGCTAGCCACCAGCCATCCGCCTTCTTATCATGTATAAGCAGGACTTCACCTTTCTTTGCCGGGAGGAGAGATGGAGACAAAAGACAACCAAATATTTCAAAATGACACCAGGAGCAATTTGAATAACAATTCCAATTTCCCCTGTAATACAGGTCACAGAGACCACAGCTACAGACTCTGCTGCTACAGAAGAGGACGCTGGACTCCAGTACGCCAAATGTACACTAGGAAAAGCCATTTTCCCCAGAATCCTGCTAAGAACTGACCGAATCCCAGAAGCGTAGTATTTAATTATTTTTATTGCTTAATACAGAATGATCTGCAGTAGCAACATGGCAATAAACTTTTGCAGAGACATATTTACCTTAAACGTGAGGTCACCCTCTTGCTGTGCATTAAAGTTTCCAACTGCAATACATTCTTTAACACTGGGATCATCCAACAGTTTATCCTCATCATCTGTTTCTTCACTGTCTTCTTCCTCACTACTTTCTGCATCGTCATCATCACTCTCATCCTCTTCTTTGTCTTCGTCTACTGTTTGAGGATCTTTTTGATATCCGTCCTTCCTACCCAAAATACATCAAACTCTTTTTTGTTTTCTTTTCATTTTACCAGACCTTCTTGCTATTGCTGTAGAAACCTTGCAACGTGGGCTTCTCTGCAAGGATGTTACCCAGATACAGAATCTTCATTCCTGTGTTTTGCTTTCTGGCCTGATCTGAAAAAGCTCTCAGTGGTATTTCATCCCCACGCATACAGACCACAGCACACCCTCTCCTCTCAACAGCTACATTATCATTAACCAGCACCCTCAGAAAATTCCAGTGACTCCTTTTTTCAGGAAAAAAAGCCCCAGAAGAGCTGACCCTTCAGAAGCAGTTTTTTTCTGTTGTTATTGTTGTTTTGTTTTTTAAACTAAACGTTAAGGTAATAGAAGGGATAAGGCTACAATTTTTCAGGGTCCTTTCCAGCCCCGCATGTACAATTCCATTAAAGTGCAGATTGTGTTTGTCCATTTGGGCTACTTACACTGTGTCGTTTGCAGCTGCGTTATCCTGATCCAAGACACGACCAAGTTTCCACAGCTGTTGAGACAGCTTTAGCAGTAGCTTTTCCTCTTCTTCTTTCCGCTGAGTATAATTCCCCACTGGCGCAGGCTCATCAGCCTGAGAAAGAATACAACAAATGGCTCAAGTGATCAAAGGTCAAGTTCTCCTACGAAGATTTTCCAGACATGTACTGTAAGTCTTCAACTTCCAGGGGTGCTGTCACTCCCTGTTTACCGACATCTTTCTTGCCTTTGATGAGATGCAATTTCACGTTAAGTTTAAAATCTATATTCTCCACTCCCAACATAACTCATTGCTTTGAGAAAGGTTTTAGAATATAGTGGGTTGATAAAGATTTTAATGTACATAGTAAAGCACTGAAAATACATTTTTAAATAATATAAATGGATCTCACAGATCCTGATTAGAGGTTACGCAGGGCTAGGCACTGCTTTTGTCCTGAGGCATCTAAAGCTGAAGGAGGTTTGTGTTCTCTAAACGTTCACTGCAATGCACTTTGGAGGAAATCATTAACAAACTTCTCTCTATACCTACTTTTTTCAAATTATGAAGAGCATCCGTATTTTCATCGACCAATTTTTGCAGCTGCATGCATCTGCGTTGAAAGCAAGACAGACAGATGGTGTTTTCTTAAAACTCTGGTAGACAGGACACCTAACTCATGCTAAATCACCAAAACTTGTAAATTTAGATACCCACGCCTTCCCACTGCTGTATGCACACACAGCTTTACAAATACTAATACAAGCCCAAATGGCACTTCATAAGCCAAGAATTTAGTGATTCCTTAGAGGAGGTGTTTTAACAAATGTCAAAAGGAAGAAGCATCAGTAAAAGATCTGGAACAGAGGGACAAAAAAAAAATCATCACCTGGCTCTGGCGAGTTCTTGATGACAATCAAACGCTCACACAAGAATTCCAGAAGAGCTAAGGGATGAGACAGCTTAACGGTTTATTACCTGTGATGTGCAAGCTCCCACTTAAACTACCTCGACCTCTGAAGACTGGAAAGCATCCTGGGGGGCAGCTGAGTGACAAGGGGCAGAAATCTGTACAACCACGAGAAAAACAAAAAGGCGCGGAGGGAGCCAGCTGCTCCTTCTGATGCGGGGAAAGGAGAGGGGCTTTGCTCTGGGCAACCAGGAGAGGGCTCTTTCCACAACGCAGTTAAGCTACGCAACTGCTTGCCACTGAGCGCTGCTCAAAAACGTTACTTCGCAAAAGTATGAGGCAAACCCATAGGAAAAATAAATAAATAATCAACATATACTGAGCACAGCCACGACGGCTGAGTGCAGGGGCACGGCCGAGGCCGCCCCTGAGGTGCCCGCAGGCGGCGCGGCCTCACCTCTGCCTCAGGGCCTGCCGCTGCCCGCCGCCCGCCGCCGCGCTCTCGGCCCGCAGCGCCTCCACCTGCAACACACCAGAGGCGCCGTGAGCGGGGCCCCGGTCCCGTTCCCGTTCCCATCGCCCTTCCCGGCCCCGTTCCCGTTACCTGGTCCCTCAGGTGCCGGCTCCGCCGCTGCACCCGCTGCAGGGGGCTCCGCGCCCGCCGCCCCGCCATGGTTGCCAGGCAACGGGCGCCGGTAAGATGGCGGCACCTCCGGCAGCGCGGCACGCCGGGACTTGTAGGCGCGGGGCTGGAGCCTCCCCGCGCCTCTCACGGCTCCGCCCGGCGGGGTCCCAGAGCCCGCCCGGCCGTGGCAGGGGCGGCTCCCGCCGGGCCGGGCCGCCCCCAGCCCGCAGCCCCAGCCCCGTCCAGCCCGGTCTCGGGCGCTGCCAGCGATGGGGCAGCCACCGCCTGCGCCTCCCTCCTTCCCTCACGGTCGCTCCCCGTTGCCAGAGCCCCCCTCCACCCCACGACCCCCCCCCAGGCGGTGCCCCCCCCCACACAGCGAGCCCCGGCGCACGGCAGCGCCAGGCGCGGTTAGGGACCAGCACACCACAGTCACGGTCTCATGGCTTTATCAGCAGCCCTCGGGCAGCGCAGGGCTTGAGCATCGCGGGGCAGGACAAGCGCCGAGACGCGGCGCTGCCGCCGCCCCTGGCGGAGCCCCGCTCGTTGTCATCCCCCCGGCCCGGTCCGGGCACGCCGAAGTCCTTCCCGCGGCGCTCCCCGGCTCCGCCAGCTGCAGCGCGGCCTCCGCGAGTCCCCCGCGTCCTTTCCTTGCGCCGCCGCGGCCCGAGGCAGCGCCGCGATCGCGCCGGGCTCGGCCCCCGGGCTCAGGCCGCCTCCAGCTTCTCCCGGGCGGCGTCGAGGCGGCGCTGGAGGCGCTGCTGGCGCCAGCGGAGGAAGCGGCGCCGTGCCCGGCCCGCCTGCCAGCCCACCAGCACGCCCGCCGCGAAGGCGGCCAGCAGCGCCCAGCGCACCACCCGCGGCCGCAGCGCCTCCAGCCCCATGGGTGCTGAGGGGACAGGAGAGGCTGGGGGCTGCCCCGGCTCCTCCTCCTCCTCCTCCTCCTCCTCCTCCTCCCGCTTCCGCTGGCGGGGCGGCGCCGTTAAAAGCCGTGAGGCCGTCAGGGGTCGGCAGCGCTCTCGTCATGGCTGAGGCTGCCTCAGAGGTAGCGGCTGGGGGCTGTGGGGGCTCTCCCCGCGGGTCCCTTTCGGCCTCCGGCACTCACCGACCTGTGCTTTCCCCCCCCTCTCCCACAGGAGCTCCTGCTGGCGGCGGCGTTTGTGTCCGATGCGCAGTACAACAGGAATATTCCCTTCAAGACCTCCCCGCAGGCGGTCAGGTAAGGGCAGCCCGAGCTGGGGGGGGTGTGAGGGGTGGCATTTGGGCTGCCCCACAGCCCAAAAAGGCGCCGAGAGGTGAGGCTGGGGGGGTCCAACGAGCTGGGCTCAGGCTGAGGTGTGTGTGTTAAATGCTGCTCAGTGCGTCTGATCCTAAGGATGAGGCGGAAAACAAAATCTGTCTTCTGCTTGGGTTAAAGCAAAGCACTCTACAAAGCACTGCAGCTTCAGGGATAACGAGAACAGGGGGCCCAGCCCTCATTTACGTTGGTGGATGCCACAGGGTGGCTGTGCTGGGTGCAGGTGGTGGGGTGGTGGTAGTGGGGTGAGCGGGGTGGGATAAGAGCCCTGTGCCAAGGGGCTCTGCAGTGTGCAACACCAACCTGCTGCGGGCCTGCGGAGCCTCTGCTTGGTTGTTTCTCAGCAAGAGCAGTGGCTGCTTGGGGCAGAAGTAATTAAAAGCTTGTTAATTTGCAATTAGGTGAATAAAGCTCTCCAAGTCAAGACTATTTTGCCCGCAGCAGTGGATCTCTTCTCTTTGAGCTGCTGGTTCAACTTCATTCAGAGGTGACTTTTCCTTCAGGCTTGCACTACAGTAGGCAAATTTTGTGTGTAAAACTAAGGGAAGGCTGCCAGTAAGGAAGGAAAAAGTGCTACAACAGACTGCCCACAAAGCTAAGCGTGAGCATTAAAGACACCTGTAGTCCTCCCCACAAAACCTGTCCTTTTTACTTTGTTCTCCTCTCTTAGTTAATGAAGCTTCTGGAGTTCTTGTGCTGTCCAAGTATGTTAATTGTTTTACAAGGTGATGTTTTGATGTTATCTTCAAAGGTGTTGTGTTATCCATATTATCACTTGCCCTGTAGCTTTTATCTGAGGTGATTACTAGGCAGATGAGATGATTATCTGGCAATGTTGGCAGCATTTATAGTAGCAGAGAAACTGTATGCTCTCTCTGTAGATCTGCTCTGCATCTACTTGAAGGAGCCGCTACTGCATAGTGTTGTGTGGAGCCTCCTGTGGGAAGCTTAGAGCTGGATGTGTTCGTGGTGAATGCTAGCATTCACCAGAGGCTTTACTGTGGAAGGGGACAATACTTCTTGACTTATGTATTTAAAAAAAAAAAAAACAACAAACAGGAGACTTACTCTGTCAAAAACTTCTAAACAATTCCCTGTTGCACCCGTGCTGCTGCTACCCTTCTTCATGACTGTTTGGGAAATTTCTGCTGCTCTTCCAAGATACATTTGCTAAGCCCATGGGTACGTGCACTGGAGCTTTAACTTATGGTGCCACTGCTTTTTTTTCTACAGGCTTTATTATCTCTATAACCACTGGATTATGCGAACAGTCACCTATTTCTTCATCTTTCTCAACCTGTCCCTTGCAGTGTTTGAAGAACCTGCTGTGTATCCTCTCCCTTTCCTGGTGAGTTTCCAGACAGTGTAGAAGCAGTAATGCAGCTACTGTTGTGTTGCTCGGCAGAGCAAGCAAGGGTTTCTTGCTTGAAACAAGTTGTCAAGGGGTCAGGAGTTGATGGGTGCTCATCATTCTGGTAGTACTATTGATGAGCTGGATTGGGGACGCAAAAAAAAGTCTAGAAACTAGATAGCAACTGTGGCAGTCAGCATAGACATTGGCAATTGCTGGTGTGACTGCAGGCAAAGTCATGTTGCTTTTCTGCATAGAAAAGAGTAGTACCAGCCTTCTAAGTGACCCAGATGGAGTTCTTGCAGCAGAAGTAGAGTGCTGCAAGGGGAAAAAAAGGCAGTCCTAAGAGCAGCCTTAATTTGTTCCACATTGGTACTTGTGGCTGTGCTCCTTGTATTCTAACCCAATATACATGTAAATCCACTGACTTTAACTTGCATGTAGCAGGAAACCTTACAAAAAGGAGAAGCCTAAAACTACTGTTTAGTGTTGCATATGTGAGCCTGTAAAACAGCCAGCAGCAAAACCCACTGAAAAAACTCTTGTAATGACTTTTTTTTTTTTTACTTTGCCTAAGCATCCTTATCTGTGTGAAGAGGGCTAGTGCTGCTCTTGGTTGTCCTGACCTGGGTCCCCTCTCTCTCTGCAGGCCACTTCTCTGGTTGAGGTGTTGTGCCTTCTGGTGTTCTTTGGCCGACTGACACACTTTGCAAAAATCACCCCTCGTAATGTATTTTGGAAGGATACCAAGAATATCTGCATCATGGTTGCAATCCTGGTAAGTTAGGGAGCCATGAGGGTTGGGTGATGTAGAGTTTTTTCCTTCTGTTGCTTTCTTGGTCTGATGCACCAAGGCTTTACAAGAGCCATGGCCAAATCAACTAGCAGCTCAGCCTGTTCCCACAAACATGTTGTGTGCATGTATCCTGTACTAACCTAGCTAACCCAGTTGTCTTTCATCTAGATGCACTTCCAGCATTGTTTCTGTGACTTTTCCTCTTTCTTCTGCAGTTATCTCTGACTGACTTGGCCATATATGGGGCCCTCAGGATATACAACATAAAGAGCATTCGATGGTCAAGAATTGCAAGGCCCATTTTCCTGATCAACTTTGCAGAGAGTCGCCAGGTAAGGAGCGGGTCTGGTGGGAAGAACTCCTACTCTTAGACAGCCTGCTGCTTTCTGAGATCCAGGGGATTTAGTAGAATGTTCTGGGGACAGAGGTGGCAGAACTTAGACTCTGAGCGAGTTCCTCTCAAAGGTGGCCTGGAGCAAGAATGTGAGATGGAAAAAACGGTCTGTTCAGTGGTGCAGCTTGAGTGTAGTGCAAAGTACCACAAGGCTTCCAGTATCTGTGGACTGGGTCACTTGTACTGAGGGCTCTGGACAGACTTAAGCTGAAACTAGAGCTTCTTGCTATATGTGGTGATGTCATGATTTAGGGAAAATTATACTTAATAAAGAGCAATGCTGCACTGAGAAGGAATAAGCTTTCCTTTAAGATCAGTCCACAGGCTAGGATTCCTCCAGCCTGTATGAAGGAAAAATCTCTGCTTGCAAGGAGTTAGATGCTGTTCTCTGGAGGAATGGACGTGAGCAGCACTGTGGACAAGAAAACTGCTTCTCCCTGAGTCTGGGGGCTAGTTTGCTTTTATTTCTGGAAGTCACATAAGCAAACAAGCACAAGTGTGCTGTTCTCAAAGCTGAACTTGTAGTTCAGATGGATGGTTTGGACTCTGATCCCTCCTGTCATGGGGAGATCTTTGCCCTGCTGCCTGAGACCACTTTGGTCCTGACTTGCAAATAAATAAACCACTGTGGTGTGAGGCCTGCTGGAGGGAGCAGTTGAACTCTTGGTCTTAGAGCATGTTTGGTAGCCTGGAGTGGCAGACTTTTGTCTCTGACCAGTACCTTGGAGCAAGAGCACTTCAGCAGTGCTACAGGGTCCCCTGCCTAGCTGAGTTCAAACAGTTTGTGAACTGGGGAAAAAGGAGGAAAGCCCCAGGAACAGAGCTGGCACATCTGGGACAGAAGCTGTCCTGCCAGGCAACAAAGAAAACCTGGGACCTACTGTGCTTGCCTGTCCCTGCATAGGTGTTACCATATGATGTGATTGCAAGGGAGAAAAATAGGTACTGCTTTGCATCTAAACACTTCCCTCCTCCCTGACAGATTCGGAGAGCTTTCCGCAGCATCCGCAATACGTTACCAGAGATCACCTATGTCTTCCTGCTCTTCATGTTTAGCCTTCTTATGTTCTCCCTCATGGCCTTGAAGCTGTTTGGTGAGAGGTGTGAATACTTTTATTTTGTGTGTGATCAGAGCTGGGTGGGAAGAATTGGTGTGATCCTCTTGAGCAGGAGGGGATCTGGCAACTCCAATTGATTACTGGTAAATAGAATTACTTGTAGCCCCTGTGGTGGGATTTGTGATCTATGTGCCTAACTTCAGGTTGTTGTTTTCCTCGTAGGAACCTCCAGACAGCAGAAGGCTTGCCATACTTCAGAAACTACTTAGAAATTGTGTTTGACCTCTATGTGCTGGTGACAACGGCAAACAGCCCAGATGTCATGTATGTATGCTTTGCTTGCAGTCTTTGCTGTGAGCGCTGGTATCCTGCTCCTAGTGGTGGAAAAACTAAAACTGTGTAAAGCACCATGTAGAGCTGTGATCAGTGTCCACAACAGCTGTCATCACTTACTGTGCTCATCTGTGGGGAGGAAAGAGAAGTCTTCTGTGCCTTTCTTCTACCTGTGAAAAACTCTTCTGGTTCTCCTGTCATATTCTTCTCAGCCTCCTATCCCCCTGTCACCAGGTAGCCAAGAAGTCTCTTGATATGACAGCGAAGCCTGAGCATTTAAACTGCTTGCTTAGTATTCTGAATATTGTCTTTCATGCATCCTATCAGTGTCTCAGGTTAGAACAGTGCTGTGTTTTGCACATCAAGGACTTTCAGCGTGACAACAGGGCTTTGATTTTTTTTTTTCCAGTCTGCAGGGATCTCATGAGTTGTTAGCCCTCTGTTTTAAAAATGCCCTCTGAACCAGAATCTGAGTCTGGGAGGACCTTTTAGAAAAGGTGAATTGAAAATAATGCTTTCCAAAAGACCCAGTAGCTGATCAAAGCTTAAACCTGAGGGACAAGTGCCCCAGCTCTTTGATTAATGTCTCTTTCTAAAACAAAGTATGCAGTAGTGATTGGATGACTCTTCTCGCTCAATATTTGTAGGGATGTGTGCAGACTTTAACTTGCACAGCTGTGTTAAACTTGCAGGAGGCCTGGGTTTTTGATCCTTATTTGTTCTAATTGGATTCCTATTGCAGTCTGTACTGTGAAGGAGCC